TATCAATTTTCTGTGTGCTACAATTCATGGATTTTTTGGCGATACGTAATCCTAAGTTATTTTTGGCCAACAATTTTCATAGACGTCCGTTACAACCTTATTAATGGCGTAAGTTGGTCTCGAGGGGTAAAAAAATACCTTTTCAAGTTCAAACGAGTTTCGATGTAGGAAAAATAAAATTTACCAATTTGCATGTGCTATAGTCCTTGAATTTTGTGTTATACGTGATCCCAACTTTTTTTGGTCAAAAATTTTTGTGGACATCCTCTATGACCTTGTTAATGGCGCGAGTTGGCACGAGGGGAAAATATACGCATTATCAAGTACAAATGAGCCCCAAGGTGGGAAAATAAAATTTATCGATTTTCGTGTCCATGAATTTTTTGTGATACATGATCTCAACTTGTTTTTGGTCGAAATTTTTCATAGACGTCTGTTACTAACTTATTAATGGTGTGAATTGCTCCGAGGGGTAAACAAGTGCATTTTCAAGTTCAAATTAGCCCTAATGCAGAAAAATAATAAATTTATCAGTTCTCGAGTTGAATGGGCTAAGGTGTGGGCTTTTCTTATTTTACATGCTTATTGATGTTTGAGAGAAATAAACTTGATTCTAGATAAATTGTTCGAGATAAAGTAACCTACACTATAGCTTTTCTTAATTACTTACTAATATCTAACTAATTACTAATAGTTGCAATTACTCATTTGTCTATATTAGCCTATAATCGATCACATACCAAGAACCCATCTCATTATTGTTAAGTTTTATTGTTTGTGACTGTTTGTAGTCGATAATCAAAATAAAAACCCCCAATTTGACATTCGTGGCACCCCTGATTTGAATGATATCTTTATTCGATAACCTTTATTCCTATGACTGATTTGACAATGTTCATAGTGTGCTATAGTCAATGTATTTTTGGTGATACGTGATCTTAATGGCTTAAGTTCTCCCCGAAGGGCATTGGGAAGCATTTTCAAGTTCAAACGAGCCCCTGACCTCGACTTATTTTTGGCTAACATTTTTCATGTACGTCTGTTACGACCTTAGTAATGGTGTGAGGTTGTACCAGGGGGCAAGCTGACGCATTTACAAGTTCAAACTACCCAGTGCGAAAAAAATCAAATTAGTTGGGAACCATCTTGTATAATTTCACCATTTTTTCAATGCATATTTTCATATTTACAGGCCATTTTTCAGGATCAACAAAATTGTAACTTTCTTCTTCGCTTTAGCTTGTGAGCTCATTTCTAAATCAAGATCATGCCCTTGATCGACATCGGCTATGGTGTGATTTCTTGCATATGTACCCACAATATCTAAGGCAACCCCGTTCCAACTTATATTATACTTGAGTTGAGGATTTCACTTTATTACCCGAATTTCTCTATTTTTTGTGTGTAATTATTACACACACAAAAAAATAAAAAAGTAACATAATTCTTAAAAGTTGGCTCGTAAATGCAAAGATAAGTCTTTTGAAATGGTGGGACTATATGGAATGTTTCCCCAACTCATTACGGAGGTCAAGACGTCAATCCATGGCTAATACACACGAAAAACTTAAAAAGTCGTGCAATTCCTAAAAATTGACTCGTAAATGTGAAAATAAGTCATAAAATGATGGGACTATATGAAATTCTTTCCCAAATAATTAGGGGGTTCCTCATAAAATTTTTCCAGGATTCTTTTGGGTGCTCTATGGTGCTAGATCCATAGGCTGATTACACATGAAAAAAATAAGAAAGTTGTGTAATTACTAAAGTTGGCTCATAAATGCGAAAACAAGCCATAAAAATGGTGGGACTATATGCAATGCTTTCCTAACTCATTACATAAAAAAAGTTTGGTGTTCTAAAGACGTCAGATCCATAGGTTAATACACACAAAAATTCAAAAAAGTTGTGTAATTCCTAAAAGTTGGCTCGTATGTGAAAATAAGTCATAAAAATGGTTGGATTATACGCAATACTTCCCCATAGGGCTTCTCATGGTTATGATTAAAAAACCAAACCGAACTGCAATTCAATTTTAACAAATCGATATTTGATTTGGTTAGGTTTGATTTTACATTTACTAAAAAATAACTGTAAAAAATAACCAAATCGAACTGATAAATTATATATCTGAATTTTATAATTATTTATATATCATTCAGAAATAAAATATAAATATTTTGTGAAATTTTATGTAACTTAAAACTTAAACTCTACCATTTTCTCAAGCCCAACATGTAAATTTTAGCGGCCATCTATTACAACCATCATTCCAAGTCCATCAAAATTCATTAGTTTAGTCTTTATTGAATCACTTCATTCGTGTAATGATAACTTTAATATTATGTAATCGCTTAATTGAACAAACAATAGCTTTTCAGTGAGCTTTTCAGTGAACTTTTCATGTACTAGGAGTTTGTGTCGTCTTGATAAATTTATTACTTTTAAACTGAAAAAACAAGAAAAATCGAACCAAATCGTCAATAATCAAACCGATGATTTTTTTCCCGTGTGGTTTGGTTTTAGTTTTGGTATAAACCAATAATCAATCCAAATCGAACCACAAACACCCCTACTTCCCCAACTCAATACAGAGGTTCTCAATTTTTTTTTTTGGAAAAAACACATTTGGTATTTCAAGACACTTGATATGTGGGCTAATACACAAAACATCAAGAAGGTCATGTAATTCCTAAAAGTTAACTTGTAAATTTGAAAACATTCCACAAAAATGGTGGGACTATATACAATGTTTCCCCCACTCGTTACAGAGGGTCTCATAAAGTATGTTGTTGCCACTAAAACATACTTTGAGTGGCGACTTTTATAACACAAATTAAATGTTATAGTCATAGTTTATTTTAATTGTAATTCCTAGCAAATATTTTCCTTTTTTGCCATCTGATTCGGTATACAATTAGTCATTTTATATATTTTGGTATAAAATATGTTTGTATTTGTATAAAGAGAGAGAAAATTGTATATATACAAAAACAAATACATATATTTTTGTCCTATACACTGATAATTATACAAATGTGATTGTGTTTGTATAACGTGAGAGAAAATTGTATATACAAATACAAATACATATAAATATATTTCGCCCTATACACTTATAATTATACAACTATGATTGTGCTTGTATTAAGTGAGAGAAAATTATATATACAAATACAAATATTTTCGTCTTATACAGTTACTATAGTTGTTGCCACTATAACATACTTTTAATGGCGACTTTTATTGGCTTTAGTGGCGACAGCCATTGCCACTAAAAACACTTTTAGTGGCGACATTCATAGGGTTTAGCGGCGACAGAGCGGCGATATTCATAGGCTTTAACGGTGACTATTGTTGCCACTAAAAAATCTTTTAGTGGCGACATATATAGGCTTTCGCGGCGAAAGTAATTGCCACAGAATCACTCGTTAGTGGCAACATTATAGGCTTTAGCGGCGATTATGTTGCAACTAAAACATACTTTTAGTGGCGACATTTATAAGCTTTAGCGGCGACAAAATTTGCCACTAAAAAAACTTTTAGTGGCGACATTTATAAGCTTTAGAGGCGACTGTAGTTGCCACTAAAACTCACCTGTAGTGGCGACATTATAGGTGTAGCGGCGACTACTGTTGCCACTAAAAATACATTTTTAGTGGCGATATTTTAAGTTTAGCGGCGACTATTGTTGCCACTAAAACAAACTTTTAGTGGCGACATTTTAGGCTTTTGCGGCGACTTCTGTTGCCACTAAAGCAAACATTTAGTGGCCACATATTTAGGCTTTAGCGGCGACTTCTGTTGCAACTAAAGCAAACATTTTGGCGACATATTTAGGCTTTAGCGGCGACTTTTGTTGCCACTAAGGAAACTTTTAGTGGCGACATTTTTAGGTTTTTGCTGCGACTTCTGTTGCCACTAAAGCAAACATTTAGTGGCGGAAACTGTTGCCACTAAAGCAAACTTTTAGTGGCGACATATTTAGGCTTTAGCGGCGACTTTTGTTGCCATAAAGCAAACTTTTAGTGGCGACATTTTAGCCTTTAGCGGCGACTTTTGTTGCCACTAAAGCAAACTTTTAGTGGCGACATTTTTAGGCTTTTGCGGCGACTTCTGTTGCCACGAAAGCACACTTTTAGTGGCGACTTATTTAGGCTTTAGCGGCGACTTTTATTGCCACTAAAACAAACTTTTAGTGGCGACGTTTTAGGCTTTTGCGGCGACTTCTGTTGCCACTAAAGCAAACATTTAGTGGCGACATATTTAGGCGCGGCGACTTCGGTTGCCATTAAAGCACACTTTTAGTGGCAACATATTTAGGCTTTAGCGGCGACCGTTTTTGCCACTAAAGCAAACTTTTAGTGGCTACATTTTTAGGCTTTTGCGGCGACTTCTTGCCACTAAAGAAACTTAGTGGCGACATATTTAGGCTTTAGCGGCGACTTCTTTTGCCACTAAATCAATTTTAGTGGCGACATTTTTAGGCTTTTGCGGCGACTTTCGTTGCCAGTAAAACACACTTTGCGGCGACATTTGTTGCTAAAACACCCTTTTAGTGGCGACATTTTTAGGCTTTAGCGGCGTCTGTTGTTGCCACTAAAACACACTTTTAGTGGCGATATTTTAGCTTTAGCGGCGACAATCGTTGCCACTAAAACACTCCTTAGTGGCGACTTTTATAGGGTTTAGTAGCCACTTTTGTTGCCACTAAAACATTCTTTTAGTAGCGACATTTATAGGCCAGCGAATTATACAATTTTATATGTATGGCTATGATGCGCAATTATGAAAATTTTACTATAACATATAAATATGAATTTTTTGTTTATTATATGTGAAAGTTGCCCTTCTTTTAACTAGTAGGGTAGAAAAAACAAATATCCACAGGAATAAGCATAACAATGTCCTATAAAAAGGACTTCACTTAACTGTTGACTTTGATCACATCAAGGTGATATTCTGCTGTTAGTTGTATCATTTCGCTACGCTTTGGAGAGAAAGATACAAAGGCACTACATTCAATCAACATTCTGAATTGGTCTCGATATCGTTGAGCCAAGATACTAGAGTTATAAGTCATTGAGAGGCTAAAAGGTTGTCATGAGTAAATAAGTTAATCCTTCATAACCTCCATTCCTGACGTGAATGGCTGTTTCTCGAAAAAATAAATAGGCTATTAGGAGGCTTGCTAACTCCTTCATAGCCCAACACATTAAAGTGCGGATGGCTTAGAACCAATCACAAGTAACTAGCAAAATCAGCATCCAGAATGCCACACAATCACATGAATTTGGTTGACAAAATTCAAGAGATCTGTGAAAACGGCTAGCCAGAGTTTGGTTTGATTCCCTCGGGCGCGAACTATTTTTCTTCATCTGTTGGTTAATGAAACCAGAAGCATTCTACTAGAATTTACAACTAAGTCAAGTTAGCTTAGTTATGAACTGACTGGGAAGTTCTCTTCAGGCGGCTTTCGCCACAAGTAGTTAGCAGCTTCAATCCATCTTGGATGGACCAAAAACTTCTTCTCCCGCACTGCCTGACGTGACTTTTCAGTCTTGTCATTCATGGAGACCACATGTGTCACCGATTCATCGACTTCTGTGGAGAATGTAGCTCCTAATTTCTCAGCCAATTTCCAGTAGTAGTGGTTTTCTGGTTGGCATTGTATGGGAATTACACCAGTGAAGACGATTTTACAGCCCTTCAGTATTTCCTTCCGAACAGTTTTCAGCACCTGTAATAATGACAGATAAATATATTCTTAATCTATATAAAGCAAAGCTGCAGTCTCTTTGACAAGGATCAAAATCTATTCAATTACAGGTATATCAATGAGAAGTGATCATTGCACTTGAAGATAATATTTTCTATTATCTCAAAAATTATAGACATTCTAAACAACGGGACCAGCATAATTATGGTTTCCAGGCATAGCATACATTAACAACAGCAACATACCTAATGTAATCCCACAAGTGGCATCTCTGGAAGGTGTTGTGTACGCAGCCTTACCCCTACCTTGTGAGGGTAGGGAGGTGGTTTCTGAATTAAAGTATTTCAAGAAAGTACAATAGAAAAAATATTGTACTCATGGCCAAAAGTTGATCACCCTTTTCATGGGTAAGCAAATATATTAGGTCAGAGTCACTTTCACAGACAGAATACTTTGTCTTGTCGCAACTCTTCTAATTTCATTTAATCAACTCTGTGAATACTATTAAGAGACAGATATTAGAAAAATTTGGCAAAAAATGATTCGGAAGAGTATTTTGAGAATCTATAAATTAAACTTTTTGTCGAGAATTTTACCTGCCTAACATCCCGCTCCATAATATTGTCCCCACGTTCCTGAAAGAAGCAGCATTAAGGAGAATTAGGGAACCCTAACAATGTAAGACAAATACAATTAAATATAACAAAATTAGCAAGTATAACCACCTCCGCTGAAACAAGCAATAGTGAAGTCATATTGTATCTAGATTTGGGTCCAAAAGTGTAGATGCAATTAACTTGTGTAAATATGAACTTTTTCTAGCATAGAAGTCACAGTCAAACGCAGTATTCTTTCTTAATATATTGAGAAACTACTGAATTATGTGGGTGTCCTTTGAATTAAATTGTATACAATATAGAGACAACTCAAGTAGAGACTATGAAATTAATTTGGGAAGAAAAGCCTACATACCGGGTCAAAGAATAGTCTGTGGATCCTTTGCAGTACTTCTAGGACAGAGGCAAGCGCTCCCTCAGCTTCATTTTCATCACTTTTCTGTTCAGAAAGTGATTTACATTTCAAACCGAATTGTCGACAACTTGAGGTAAAGAAATGATATCTGTCCATCAGTATAAGATTTTCCCTGTGCTTCCCCCATACCTAAATAAGTACATAGAAAGGTTCAGTTCCACCAAAACAACTCATGTCATCTATCTAAATACGAACATGAGTGCATGGCACAAACACTAAGGAAGTGACTTAAATAACAATAAGGCTCAGAAAAATTCCATGCAGAAGATGAGTTAAACTCCAAAACAAATCTGAACTGTCAGAATAGCAATACATGGAAAATGAAAAGCTGTCATGGTATTATGGTGGTAGGAACTTAAATCTAATCAGACTAACTTTCCCTCCCTTTGTACTAATAATAAGCGTTCGGCAGGATTAGCATTCTCTTTGCCACTAAATAAATTCTCTCATTCTCGTCGGAGAGATCATATAGTCCTAAAGAAATGTTCACATACTTACCACTTCAGTATCATCAAGGATCAGAACAGCACTTTCTTGGCCCAAAACGACATCGAGACCCTTTTGATGTCTCCGAGTGGAGTCTGATTGAGCAATCACTCTAGAATGGAAGTAGATACCTCCAGGGTCAAGTAACTTTGCCATTTCCAACGCATAAGGACGTTCGCCCATTGTATAAATGTACATCTCGAACAAACTACTGGCTTCTTTCAGGAAGGTGTGGACAAATGGCCTCAGCTTTGTCATCATGTGTATCCAGTCCAATTTGAAAAGGTTGCTTCTTAAAGCATCTGTAGATAGCAATTTGGGAAAAAATCATAAAACACTGCACAACAAAGACCTGCAAAATAACTATCACAGACAAACAACAAGACTTTAAAGCAAAAGAAATCCTAACCATATCTGAGGTCTAATAAAGTAGCATTAATAGAAGAAAAATAACTTGAATGCACTTAACGACAAAGATGAGTAGAAAGAATTACTAAAGTGAAGAGCTTACAAAGCTCTAGAGTAAAAAGGCCAGATTATCAAACAGTATAATTTAGATTGCCCAGATGTCAGAAGTTCAACTCAAGGGCACATATCTTGCAATCGCCGCATGATATAGGCATTTTACTTTCTAACAAAGAGTGCCTTCTAAACATTCTTTACCTAGTCCAGGCATCCACAATTCCAAATCATTACAAGACGAGTAAACATTAACTCAATAGAAACATATACTACCATACACAGAACACCGTGCAGCTAACTTTGACCCAAAAAAAAAAAATAAGAACAAAGGCAAAAGAAAATTAAGGTTCGATGTTGCCACTTTCTTCGACAAAGAGACTTAAACCCACAGCCAACGCAACCATGTGAACATCCTCCCCTACACAGTAGACCCTTCCCCTGAACCAAATAGCTCTTCAACCATACATATCAACAACATGACCTTATTTCTTCATGGTCATCTTTTAGAGGGGCAAACAAAGAGCGCTGAAGCACCCATTAAAAACGTACTAATCTTTACAGTAACCCACCAAAGAGGACTTTAATTAATCACATCTGCTCAGGCATTCTCGCATGAATCAAAGAAAAATGTAGTAACATCGACTCATACTTGCTATCAGACTTGGATCCCCTTCAAACCTTGGAGATCAAATTAAGGGAATAAGAGGCTAGTAGCTGATTGAGTAGGTGACAGAAATCAGTGCAGTACTGATTAGAGGGACAACTAAACTAACTCCAATGACACAGTTTTATTCTTCATTTACTATTCCTAACCATCTAGTTTATGTCACCTCGGATATTTTCTATGGGTTCCTTCCCTATCTAATTCATTAACTTAGTCTTCACGTAACATATACCACAATATCCCATTCATACATCAAAGAGATCCTAGCACTTCACTACACCACTGCCAAATGCTTTCCACCTACCGATATCTCCACCAAATTTCAAGCCATGGCAAAGAGCCCTAGGCAGTACATATAACTTGTTGGACAGCATTTTTCTTCAAAGTTACAAGGTCAATGTACTAAAACAATAAACTAGAGGAGAGATTTAGATATGTCAAACAAATTGAATTTAATTAAAGAAGAAAGGTCTAAGAAACTGAGCCTAAGAGTAAGGCCCCAGCCACATCATTTAGACCATGAGGTTGCTGCACACTTTATCTTTATCTATCATAATTTATTATTTTAGTTTAAGGACCAATAAAGATGACCCTTTTCTTTTTCTTTTAGAAAAAGGCCGATAAAGATAAACCTATGTTATATTTATTTTTTTGAAAATGAGATTACTTTATGTTATATTTGATCCGATCTTCTATAAATATGACTCATGTACTGATTTACTGTTTGATGGGCATGAGTAATGATTGTGAGTGGATTAGGCATTAATATCCCTCCCTCTTTTCCGGTTTCCCACTTCTCTATCCCCCTCTCATTCTCACTTCTTTATCTCTCTCCAAAGACCAACACAAGTGCAAGTGGGGCAACACCTAATTCTTGTGCCCTCTCCATCTTCCCCCCTCAAGCAACAATAGTTGAACATTAACCGTTTAACATAGTGTGGCATCAACTTAACAGATCCCAAACAATCTCAAGAATTCCCACCATAACCTCGAAGTAACCCCAGAATAAAGGAGAAGATCACCTACACCCACCTGTTTTTTACACATACCGCACCAACCAACAAAGATGACCGTCTAGTTCCTCTTATTCTTCTTTATTTCTGTCTTGATCTATCTCTTTTCTCTCTTATTCCTCTCTTTCTCCTTTTTTTCATTCTTTCTCCAGCCTTTTCACCCTTCTCCACATTAAGGTACTTCATCAATTTAGTAGCCAAGCCAAGTTCTGATTCATCAGAATGCTGCACTCCAAGATAACAATAGTATTTTGTTGACCACTAATTACTACAATATGTTTATCCACTGTTCACAAGTACCTTCCTCATGGAAGGTTCATCAATGAGCAACTGCAATTAGAACTTCATTTTTTTCTGGAAATTGCATAAATAGTCTCACATATTAGGCTGTTCTTTCTCCACCAGAGAAGAATGCCAGAGATCTTTTTTGGGAAACCTTTTTTTTTAATTACCATGGCGTTCGGTCAGCTTGCGCACACCTCAACTAATTCCATGGGGTACCTACTACCTGCCAAGTCCTTTTGGGAAAGTACAAGTTGCCTCCCAATCATGTTCAGAAACATCCGTTGACACACCTCAACTATACGGGCAACCTCTTACCCCTATAATTTTGGTTCAAAGAGGAAATAATACCCCTTAACTGACAACTTGGCGGAGAAAGTATTATTCACCCATGAAAATCTCAAAACACCCAAAAATATGAAAGAAAATTACAATTAAGACCTATTAAAACTTGGCAAGTGGAAAGTAAGGTCCACTTTTTATTTTCTTTAACTTTGACCCAAAAAAAAGAAAAAGAACGAAGGCAAAAGAACATTAAGGTCCAGATGTTGCACTTCCAACTAACTTCGACAAACAGACTTACACCTATAGCAAACGCCATCCATGTAAACATCCTCCCTTACACAGTAGACCCTTTCCCTAAACCAAATAGATCTTCAACCATAGATATCAACCACATGACCTTATTTCTTCATCAGTCTTTTGTTTTTTAATCACATCTGCTCAGGCATTATTCAATGAATCAAAGAATAATGTAGTAACAGTGACGCATACTTACTATCTGACTTGGATCCCCTTTCAAACCCTGAAGATCAAATTAAAGGGAATAAGAGGCTTGTAGCAGACTGGGTAGGTGACATAAATCAGCGCAGTACTGATTAGAGGGCCAACTAAAGTTTAAACTAACTCCAATGAGACAGTCTTATTCTTCATGTACTATTCCTAACTATCTAGTTTACGTTTCCTCGTATATTTTTTATAGGTTCCTTTTCTATCCAATTCATTAACTTATCGCATAACATATAGCACAATATCGCATTCGTACATCGAAGAGATCCTAGTACTTCACCTCACCACAGGCAATTGCTCTCCACCTATGAATATCTCCAACAGATTTCAAGCCACGGCAAAAAGCCCTGGGCAGTACATATAACTTGTTGGGCAGTATTTCCTTATTCTGGCTTCTCTAGCTTCTATGTGCGAGTAAAACAGATTTTCACCTCTTTCAGGAGCAAGATACAAGCACCAGAATATGAAGCTAACAGCATATAACCAGTAAGAGTAGCATACCAGGCAGTACTTCTCGTTGGTCCTTCAAGTATGATTCTTCTGCAGAAATATCTGCAAGTCTAGTTGAGTTCAGAAGTGTGTGGTCTAAATCTAGAACCAAGATCAGCTTTCTGTGCCGTAGTAAATTTTTCAGGTCCTTTTCACGCAATCGAGCAACTTCATCATCTGCAAGCCTCAAATTCTGCAAAATTATGGATAGAATCCAGTGAATAGGTGTACAAAGTTTAATAGATATAGCTGTTCCCAGCACGTCATATAGTTCCTCCCGGTTCCTCTCAACCTATGTTGCTCAGCGCCTCAGCCTCTCCAAAAATGTTGCCGCCCGTGTCTGATCATCCCAAAAAGCACTACTTTTCGAGGGTCCGACAGGCATTGGCGGCATTTTGGAAGCGTTCGAGGCATAGCTCTCAACATTTCCCCACCAACCCAACCACCAGAAAAGAATATATGTATACACAAGTGTATTTTAGTGAACAACAAATCATGGAGAATAACCTTGTGTATGTATCCAAAAGCCACACCCGATTCATCTTCCACCTTCTGCCCACACCGTATACACATCCCTCCCATGACACCGGGATGAGTGCATACATCCAGCGCCATAGATGCTCCTGCACATGGGGACATGTCAGATTTATCATACATATCCAGACAAGTTCTTAAAGATGTAAAAGAGGGAGGGGAGCAGGAAGTGCATCGATGAGACTGTAAAGGAAACAGTCAAAGAACCTATAAGCACTATTTAAAGTTGCATAGAGGCGTTTTATTTCCTTCAAAGTACCACTCACTCCAACCATGGACATATAAGGAATTTAGCATACAAAATTATTTGTTCCTTAAGAGTTCTCCTCGCCTTCCAACATTTTTAATTCTTTTATGCCATGTAAGACATTTTAACCAAATAATCAAAAGATGAATACAATCTTATTGTATGGTGTTATAATATCTCTATAACAACACCTAAACATCGGTCTTGATAAAATGCTTTTACAACTTTTCTTTTTACAAGGACATAAAACGCTTAACAACTTGACATAAGATTGAATAACTGTTCTACAGCCTCACCTGAAGTTTCTGCTGGTTCTCCACGAGACACTGAACTCTGTGGATCAACTGCACCTTCAATCAACTCAATTTTACGCTTCTTTGACCTATGATATCAATACAGCAATCAATGAGGAAATGGATAAGGTAGTGTAAGCAGAAACATTCAATTGCAATGTTAAACTTTAAAAAGTAAGCAGTAAATTTGGCTACAGAATGATTTCAAAATTCAGAAGAACTAACAATTATTACAAACCCGTCTATAATTCCTTTCTTCTATCTGCATTCTTTTGCATGTCTAACTCAAACTCTTAACTTAGGATGAACTAACAAATCCAGCATTCATACCTGCTAGAATCTATGCTGCCATCACCATCACCAGTGTCGTTGTCTTCATCTTCCACCTCTTCCTCTCCCTCTGCTTCTCCACTTTCTACTTCGTCTACATCAGAAGCAGAGTCCAACTCTGCATCAAGAAATGCTGCAAACTCATCGCTGCTTGATGAGTGGACGGGAGAATCTGCCGTCAGACTCATCTGGCATGTCAACCATGAAGTATATAAGTATTATGCTAATACATCATAAGATACATTAACAGCTACTTTTTTAAAAAAAAAAAAAAACTCAAAACAACAACCAACAAGTCAATTTGAACGAAACCAACAAACACCAGCTAAAAACACCCAATTCAAAGCCAAACACCCAAATAGAACCAAAATACTCAAATCTGAATAAAAGGGTATAAAAATTCAACCTTGAAAGATGAAGAACCGCCATGTGGACGACGCAAAGGGAGATCTGAGTTAGTCGAGGAAGGTTCAAAACGAGGGCCGAGCACTCTGCTTCCACCACCTCTGTTACCACCACCTGGTCTCAAACATAACACCGTCTGATCAGCCTGCATAATACCTTACTCAATTTCTCCACCGTCCCATCAATTCGAACAAAAAAAGAATCCAAATCAAGAAAAACCCAGATACAAATAATAACCTTAACTCAATTTCTCCACCGTCCCATCAATTCGAACAAAAAAAGAATCCAAATCAAGAAAAACCCAGATACGAATAATATGTATCTAACACAATGAATATAGAATTAACACCTTTTTAGAGAAGAGAGGACAATCCTTTTTGGGATAGGTTTGGGATTTTAAGATTTGTCGGAGCTATTCTTTTGTTACTCTTCGAATATTTTTTGCTTTTGTCGGAGCTGACACATTTATTTCATCATTATTAACAACACTATTTTTATTAAATTTTTTCCAACTTAATTTTCATCTAATAAGTTAATATTTGGTATATTTAGATATTTTAAATTAATAATTAATGTTGCCCTAAAACATACTTCAGTGACGACTTTTATAAGCATTAGGGCGACTAATATATTGCATGCTACGGCCACTAATGTTGCCACAAAAACGTATTTTTAGTGGCGAATATTAGAGGCATTAGCGGCAACTAATATTGCCACTAAAACAACTTTTAGCGGCAGCTATCTGGCATTAATGGCGACTAATATTGCCATTAAAAGTTCTTTTAGTGCGAATATTATAGGCCTATCATCAATTTTTTAGTAATTTTAATTTCTAGTGAGATTAGAACTTAAGCTTAATTAGAATGTTTTTTTCCTATTTTTTTTTTAACAACTTTATCCTTGTGATTATCTTACGTCTATCCAATCTTTTAGTAAAACAATTGGATATTTTCTTTTATCGTAGTTAATGTCAAGGTGATATTCTACTTTGAGTTGTATCTTTTCTCTCCTCTTTCAAGAGATAGATACAAAGTTGCTATACTCAATCAATATTCTGAACTGGTCTCGATAGTGACAGTTCAGTGTATGTTACGTAGAAAAAAGAAAGGAAAAGAAGTAGCTTCGCAAAAAGAGAGCTAAGATACTAGTAGTATAGGTCGTTGAACCAAGATACAAGTGCTATAGATCGTTGGGAGGTTGCCACGGGTAAACGAAAAGATAAATAGGCTATGAGGAGGTAAGACTAACTCCTTCATAGTCCAAACTCATTAAGGTGGAGATGGCTAGAACCAATCATAAGTGCCAATCGGGCAATTCCTTTCAGGTTTAATCAACTGAAAGTCACGCACTGTAATATAACTAGCAAAATCAGCATCCAGAATGCCACACAATCACATGAATTTGGTTGACAAAATTCAAGAGATCTGTGAAAACGACTATAGCCAGAGTTTGGTTTGATTCCCTTGGGCGCGAACTATTTTTCCTCATCGGATAGTTTCATTCTACTAGAATTTACAATTAAGTTACCCAAAATCTAGGTTAGCAAATAGTTATGAACTGACTGGGAAGTTCTCTTCAGGAGGCTTTCGCCACAAGTAGTTAGCAGCTTCAATCCATCTTGGATGGACCAAAAACTTCTTCTCCCGCACTGCCTGACGTGACTTTTCAGTCTTGTCATTCATGGAGACCACATGTGTCACCGATTCATCAACTTCTGTGGAGAATGTAGCTCCTAATTTCTCAGCCAATTTCCAGTAGTAGTGGTTTTCTGGTTGGCATTGTATGGGAATTACACCAGTGAAGACGATTTTACAGCCCTTCAGTATTTCCTTACGAACAGTTTTCAGCACCTGTAATAATGACCAATAAATATATTCTTAATCTATATAAAGCAAAGCTGCACTCTCTTTGACAAGGATCAAAATCTATTCAATTACAGGTATATCAATGAGAAGTGATCATTGCACTTGAAGATAATATTTTCTATTATCTCAAAAATTATTGACATTCTAAACAACGGGACCAGCATAATTATGGTTTCCGGGAATCATTACGTTATGCATTAAGTTATCGATCATCAACAACAGCAACATACCTAATGAAATCCCAAAAGTGACATATCTGGAAGGTGTTGTTGTACGCAACCTTACCGCTACCTTGTGAGGGTACGGAGGTTGTTTCCGAATTAAGTAATTCAAGAAAGTACAAGACAAAAATTATTGTACTCATGGACAAAAGTTGATCACTCTTTTCATGGGTGAGCAAATACATTAGGTCAGAGTCACTTTCACAGACAGAATACTGTGTCTTATCGCAACTCTTCTAAATTTCATTTAATCAACTCTGTGAATACTATAAGTGACAGATATTAGACAAAATTTGGAAAAAAATGATTCAGAAGAGTGTTTTGAGAATCGATAAATTAAACTGTGTCGAGAATTTTACCTGCCTAACATCCCGCTCCATAATATTGTCCCCACGTTCCTGAAAGAAACAGCATTAAAGAGAATTAGGAAACCCTAACAATGTAAGACAAATACAATTAAACATAACAAAATTTGCAAGTATAACCACCTCCGCTAACACAAGCAATAGTGAAGTCATATTGTATCTAGAAGTGGGTCCAAAAGTGTAGATGCAATTAACTTGTGTAATATGAACTTTTTCTAGCAGAAAAGTCACAGTCAAATGCAGTATCCTTTCTTAAAATATTGAGAAACTACAGAATTATGTGGGTTTCCTTTGAATTAAATTGTATACCATATTGAGGCACCTCAAATAGAGACTATGAAATTAATTTGGGAAGAATAGCCTACATACCGGGTCGAAGAATAGTCTGTGGATCCTTTGCAGTACTTCTAGGACAGAGGCAAGCGCTCCCTCAGCTTCATTTTCATCACTTTTCTGTTCAGAAAGTGATTTACATTTCAAACCGAATTGTCGACAACTTGAGGTAAAGAAATGATATCTGTCCATCAGTATAAGATTTTCCCTGTGCTTCCCCCATACCTGAAACAGTACATAGAAAGGTTCAATTCCATCAAAACAACTCATCTCATCTATCTAACTACGAAAATGAGTGCATGACACAAACACTGAGAAAGTGTCTTAAATAACAATAAGGTTCAGAAAAATTCCATGCAGAAGATGAGTTAAACTCCAACACAAATCTGAACTGTCAGAATAGCAAACATGGAAAATGAAAAACTGTCATGGAATGCTGGTAGGAACTTAAATCTAATCAGACTAAATTTCCCTCCCTTTGTACTAATAATAAGCGTTCGGTGGGATAGCATTCTCTTTGCCACTAAATAAATTCTCTCATTCTCGTCGGAGAGATCATATAGTCCTAAAGAAATGTTCACATACTTACCACTTCAGTATCATCAAGGATCAGAACAGCACTTTCTTGGCCCAAAACGACATCGAGACCCTTTTGATGTCTCCGAGTGGAGTCTGATTGAGCAATCACTCTAGAATGGAAGTAGATACCTCCAGGGTCAAGTAACTTTGCCATTTCCAACGCATAAGGACGTTCGCCCATTGTATAAATGTACATCTCGAACAAACTACTGGCTTCTTTCAGGAAGGTGTGGACAAATGGCCTCAGCTTTGTCATCATGTGTATCCAGTCCAATTTGAAAAGGTTGCTTCTTAAAGCATCTGTAGATAGCAATTTGGGAAAAAATCATAAAACACTGCACAACAAAGACCTGCAAAATAACTATCACAGACAAACAACAAGACTTTAAAGCAAAAGAAATCCTAACCATATCTGAGGTCTAATAAAGTAGCATTAATAGAAGAAAAATAACTTGAATGCACTTAACGACAAAGATGACCAGAAAGAATTATTAAAAAGAAGAGCTTACAAAGCTCTAGAGTAAAAAGGCCAGATTATCAAACAGTATAATTTAGATTGCCCAGATGTCAGAAGTTCAACTAAAGGGCACATATCTTGCAATCGCCGCATGATATAGGCATTTTACTTTCTAACAAAGAGTGCCTTCTAAACATTCTTAACCTAGTCCAGGCATCCACAATTCCACATCATTACAAGACGAGTAAACATTAACTCAATAGAAACATATCCTACTATACAAAGAACATTGTTCAGCAAACTTTGACTCAAAAAAAAACATAAGAACAAAGGCAAAAGAAAATTAAGGTTCAGATGTTGCCACTTCCTTCGACAAATAGACTTAAACCCATAGCCAACGGCAACCATGTGAACATCCTCCCCTACACAGTAGACCCTTCACCTCAACCATAGATATCAACGACATGAGCTAATTTCTCATGGTCATCTTTCAGGGGGGTAAACCCAAGAGCGCTGAAGCAGCCATTAAAAACATATTAATCTTTCTAATAGTAACCCACTAAAGGGGACATTAATTAATCAAATCTGCTTGGGCCTTATTCGAATGAATCAAAGAATAATGTAGCAATGGTGACACATACTTGCTATCAGACTTGGATCCCCTTCAAACCCTGGAGATCAAATTAAGGGGATAAGGGGCTAGTTAGTAGCTGATAGAGTAGGTGAAAGAAATCAGTGCATAATGATTAGAGGGACAACTAAACAAACTCCAATCATCAACGACAGTCTTATTCTTCATTTACTATTACAATCTAGTTTACGTTACCTCGTATATTTTCTATGGATTCCTTCCCTATCTAATTCATTAACTTAGTAGTCGCGTAACATATACCACAATATCCCATTCAAACATCGAAGAGATCCTAGTACTTCACTTCACCACTTCCAATTGCTCTCCTGTACCAATATCTCCAACAGATTTCAAGCCACGGCAAAGAGCCCTAGGCAGTACATATAACTTGTTGGACAGCATTTTTCTTCAAAGATACAAGGTCAATGTATTAAAACAATAAACTAGAGGAGAGATTTAGATATGACAAACAGATTGAGTTAAACAAAGAAGAAAGGTCTAAGAAGGCTAAGAGTAAGGCCCCAGCCACATCATTCAGACCATGAGGATGCTTGCATACTTTATCTTTATCTATCATACTTTATAATTTTAATTTAAGGAGCAATAAAGATGACCTTTTTTATTGGAAAAAGGATGATAAAGATAAAACTATGTTATATTTGATCCGATCTTCTATAAATATGACTCATGTACTAATTTACTGTTTGATAGGCATGAGCAATGATTGTGAGTTGATTAGGCATTAATATCCCTCCCTCTTTTCCGGTTTTACACCTCTCTATCCCCCTCACATTCTCACTTCTTTATTTCTCTCCAAAAACCAACATAAGTGCAAGTGGGGAACACCTAATCTTGCGCCCTCTCCAATCTCCTCCTCCCGCAACACTAGTTGAACATTAACCTTTTAACCTTGTGTGGCATCAACTTAACAGATCCCAAACAATCTCAAAATTCTCACCATAACCTCGAAGTAACCCCATGATAAAGGAGAAGTCACCTACACCTTCACCTGTTCTTACACAACGGTACCAACCAACATAAATGACCGTCTACTTACTCTTATTCTTCTCTCTATTTCTGTCTTGATCTATCTCTATTATCTCTTATTCCTCTCTCTCATTTTTTTCATTCTTTCTCCAGCCTTTTCACCCTTCTTCCCATTAAGATGCTACATCAATTTAGTAGGCAAGTCAAATTCTGATTCTCTAAGATAATATTAAGCATTTTGTTGACCAATAATTACTAAAACCGTTTATCCACTGTTCACAAGTATCTTCCTCATGGAAGGATCAACAATGACCAACTGCAATTAGAACTCCAATTTTTTCTGGAAATTACATAAATAGTCTCACATATTAGAGCTGAATTTTCTCCAACAGAGAAAAATGCCATAGATCCTTTTTGGGAAATCCTTTTTTTTTAATAACTATGGTGTTCGATCAGCTTGCGCACACCTCAACTAATTCCACGGTGGACCTACTACCTCCCAAGTCCTTCTTGGGAAAATACAAGTTGCCTACCAATCTTGTTCAATAAAATCCATTGACACACCTCAACTTGTGGGCAACCTCTTACCCCCATAATTTTGGTTCAAAGAGGAAATAATATCCCTTAACTGACTATTTTACCCGTGTAAAATGCATGAAAATCTCAAAACACACAAAAATATAAAAGAAAATTACAATTAAGACCTACAAAAACTTGACAAGTGGAAAGTAAGGTCCACTTTTTATTGTCTTTAGTTTCGACTCAAAAAAGAAAGAACAAACACAAAAGAACATTAAGGTCCAGATGTTGCCACTTCCAACTTCCTTCGACAAACAGACTTAAACTCATGGCCAACGCCATCCATTTAAACTTACACAGTAGACCCTTCCCTAAACCAAATAGATCTTCAATCATATATATAAACCACATGACGTAATTTCTTCATTGGCCTTCCTTTTTTTTTTAATCACATCTGCTCTGGCATTATTCAAATGAATCGAAGAATAATGTAGTAACAGTGATGCATACTTGCTATCAAACTCGGATCCCCTTCAAACCCTGGAAATCTAATTAAGGGAATAAGAGGCAAGTAGCAGATTGAGTAGGTGACATAAATCAGTGCAGTAATGATTAGAGGGACAACTAAAGTTTAAACTAACCCGATGAGACAGTCTTATTCTTCATGTACTATTCCTAACTATCTTGTTTATGTTTCCTCATATATCTTTTATAGGATCCTTCCCTATCTAATTCATTAACTTATCGCGTAACATATATCACAATATCCCATTCGTACATCGAAGAGATCCTAGTACTTCACCTCACCACAGGCAATTGCTCCACCTTCCAATATCTCCAGAAGATCTCAAGCCACAGCAAAGAGCCCCAGGCAGTACATAGAACTTGTTGGGCGGCATTTCCTTATTCTGGCTTCTCTAGCTTCCATGTGCAAGTAAAACAGATTTTCACCATTTTCAGGAGCAAGATATAAGCCCCAAAATATAAAGCCAACAGCATATAACCAGTAAGAGTAGCATACCAGGCAGTACTTCTCGTTGGTCCTTCAAGTATGATTCTTCTGCAGAAATATCTGCAAGTCTAGTTGAGTTCAGAAGTGTGTGGTCTAAATCTAGAACCAAGATCAGCTTTCTGTGCCGCAGTAAATTTTTCAGGTCCTTTTCACGCAATCGAGCAACTTCATCATCTGCAAGCCTCAAATTCTGCAAAATTATGGATAGAATCCAGTGAATAGGTGTACAAAGTTTAATAGATATAGCTGTTCCCAGCACGTCATATAGTTCCTCCCGGTTCCTCTCAACCTATGTTGCTTAGCCTCTCCAAAAATGTTGCCGCCCATGTCTGATCATCCCAAAAAGCACTACTTCTCGAGGGTCTGACAGGCATTGGCGGCATTTTGGAAGAGTCCGAGGCATAGCTCTCAACATTTCCCCACCAACCCAACCACCAGAAAAGAATATATGTATATACAAGTGTATTTTAGTGAATACTGAATCATGGAGAATAACCTTGTGTATGTATCCAAAAGCAACACCAGATTCATCTTCCACCTTCTGCCCACACCGTATACACATCCCTCCCATGACACCGGGATGAGTGCATACATCCAGGGCCAAAGATGCTCCTGCACATGGGGCCATGTCAGATTTATCATACATATCCAGACAAGTACTTAAAGATGTAAAAGAGGGAGGGGAGCAGGAAGTGCATAGATGAGACTGTAAAGGAAACAGTCAAAGAACCCATAAGCACTATTGTATGGTGTATCATATCTCTATAACAACACCTAAACATCGGTCTTGATAAAATGCTTTTAAAACTTTTCTTTTTACAAGGACATAAAATGCTTAACAACTTGACAGAAGATTGAATCACTGTTCTACAGCCTCACCTGAAGTTTCTGCTGATTCTCCACGAGACACTAAACTCTGTGGATCAACTGCAGCTTCAATCAACTCAATTTTACGCTTCTTTGACCTGTGATATCAGTATGCGATCAATGAGGAAATGGAGCGGGTAGTGTAAACAGAAACATTCCATTGCAATGTTAAACTTCAAAAAGTAGATAGTAAATTTGGCTATAGAAGAATTTTCCAAATTCAGAAGAACTAACAATAGTTGGTGACAATTAGTACAACACGTCTTTAATTCCTTCCTTCTATCTGCACTCTTTTGCATTTCTAACTCAAAATCTTAGTTTAGATGAACTAACAAATCCAGCATTCATAGAGAATCTTATAATACCTTCTCGAATCTATGTTGCCATCATCACCATCACCAGTGTCGTTGTCTTCATCTTTCCCTTTCTCATCTTCCAACTCTACCTCTACCTCTGCTTCTCCATTTTCTACTTCGTCTAGCTCAGGTGATACATCAGAAGCAGAGTCCAACTCTGCATCGAGAAATGCTGCAAAATCATCGCTGCTTGATGAGTGGACGGGAGAATCTGCCATCAGACTCATCTGGCATGTCAACCATGAATTATGTTAGTATTATGCTAATACATCATAAGATACACTAACAGCTACTTTACTACTAATTCAAAAAACACAAACAATAACCAACAAGTCAATTTGACCAAATATTCTATAACTAAGTAACTAACTCAATCTGAAAATTTTACTATAGATATGAATGGCCAATCATATATCTATGTGTAAAGATTTCATAGTGAAAAAATTAGTAAACCTAAGCACCACCATATGTTTTGATTTCAGACAGTTAATAAGAGTGTAATCCGCTGCTACTATGGCAACAAGGTGGGTTTAATTTTGTGTGGTTTTGGGTTCAGTAACTTCGAAGCAGGTGTGGGGCGTGCACAAATTTAAAATTCACCATTTTCAAATTCACTATTAACAAACTAGTGGGGATAGCCCGGGCATTGCCCGAGCCCAACATAAAAAAAAACTTAAATTATTTTGTTATACATGGTAGATAAATCAGCAGGCGACAATATGCGTATAAAAAGTATTGATCAGCAACAACAAAGAGCAGGCTAAAACACAAAAGCTGTGGGATATGACTAATCTACCAATAGGGATAGAACATAAATTGTATTCATCACACAATACGGGAGAGCACCTAAAAGTGTCAATCAGCAATACTAAGCAAATTTCGCAAATTAATACCATTTTCCCCAAGCATATGCTGCAATAAGATACTAAAGGAAACACAAAGATACACCAGATCAATAATCTTGACTTTTGAGATAGATACTTTTCCACCCTTTAAATCCCCCAGTGTTCTGAAAAGCCACTCAAACAAAAGCTACCAATAATTTTTTTAATAGAATGAGTTTCTCGTCAATTAAAAGATTCAGTTACTATTTAGTAAAGCTAAAAGTGTTAATCTAATTAGTAAAACTCCAGATTAATTAGAAGAACTTACCATATAGTAGGCGTAAGAGATCAAATGGACTCTGTTGTTGCTGATTGATGCAATAGCTTTCTAACAGAACAAAAACTATACACAACAACAACAACTCAAATCAACAAATTTTCTTCGAATTATTGATGCTGTAATGCTATTAGAAACATCCTAATCGAAGAATCGATCAAATTTCAGCAAAATCCACTGGGAAAAAGAAAAAAAAAAGGAAAACGCATTAACCTGAAGCAAACTCGAAGCTAATAAGTTGAAGAAGCTTCAGCTTCCAAATCTCGGTGTGCTCAAAACCCTAAATTTCGTATCGGAGCAAGATGAATAACAATGGCAGTTGCCCTTTTTTTTTTTTTATTTGCGTCTGTTTTCCAGTATGATGTTACCCACATTTTTATTTTTTTCATCTCTTCAAGATCCAATGGGTCTTTTGAATAACCTTTCGGGCTTTATGTGGCCCAATTTTTTAATTTTAGATTTAAAGTAAATTTTAATAAATTACATTACGAAACAAAACAAACTTATACTATTTGATTATATAGTTTGTTATAATTATCATTCGCGACTAACATTTTATATTAATTACGTTGGTTGACTTCGAGTTTGTATAATTAGTCACGTTTGTATATGTATAATTCGCTAGATTATATAAATACATATGTAAAATATACAATTATTTAACCTATATACTTATACAATTCACCTCTCTCCCACTCTCTCGCTCCTCCCTCTCCCAATCTCGCTTGCCCTATATACAAATGTATATGAATAATATACAATTATATACATATAAAATCCACATCTCTCGCTCGCCTCTTTTCTCCCTCTCCCAATCTTGATCATCTCTATCCTCCCTCTCCCAATCTTGATCGTATCTCTTATCCCTCTCCCAATCTCGCTTTCCATATATACAAATACATACGTATAATATACAATTATCTAACTGACATATTCAATTTACCTTTCTCCCACTCTTTCCCCCCCCCTCTCTCTCTCTCCTCTCTCCTCTCTCTCCCAGTCTCGCTCGCCTCTCTTCCTCTCTCTATCTCCCATTCTCGCTCGCCTCTCTCGTTCATATAACATGTAACTACGAATCGTAAATATCAAATTATAGTTATAAAGAGTAATTAGGCTATTTTTAAGTGACTAAACTATTAATCACTCTTGATTTCCATGTGGAAATCAAATTGTAGTTGAGCATGTGTTAAACTTGAAAATAACAAATTGAAAAAATTGAGTATGAAAAGAAGTGCATTTGAAATTCATCTTTAAAAAAGAAATGGAAAACTCAATTCAATATATAACTAAACCTTGTTTTTTTTTAATTAAAAAGATTGTGACAAAAGGTAAATTATTTGTTTGGACAAAACTCAAAAAGGTATTTAATTTAACTTAATTTTTTTCATACATATCTGATAAATATATTAAGGTTCTGGTCCCAATTAAATTCAAATTCAAATCAAAATATTTCCTACTGAAAACTCCCCACATAATAATATATGATTTGAATTTCTTTACCATATTTTGACAAATTTCTAAACAATGAAATACTCAAAACCTAAAAATGATCAATATAACAACATTACACATGAAAATGAATTTTAAAAGATTTTATTAGGCAATAGAAGCCACAAAAATCCAACAATTTTATTTACTAAGACAAACAACTATTATACACAATAATAAGAAATTAAGATTGTAATTCTATCTTTAAAATATTAATTAACTCTCTTTTTTTTCCTTTTTAAATTGTTTTCTTTTGCTTTTTTCTCTCAATTCTCTTTTGTCTTTCTTGCCAATAATCCTCTGATTTTGTAATTTCTTCTTCATCTATCCATCCCTCTTTCATCATTTTTTGTTGGTAATACCTAAATCCCACATATAACACAAAAACTGCAAAAAAAATAAAAAAAAATAATTATAATCCGATATTTTGATACGAACAAAAATATTTTCTAGATAAATTAAAAATAAATGAATTTACCTGCCCATATTCTAGCAGAAATTGAAGATAAATTCCATATAAGTGTGAATATTGCAAATGCAACTGCTTTCTTGTGAGTACAACTTTCCCAAGCATCTCGAAAACGTCTAATCCAAAATGTACCTTTCATATTAAAATCATCAAACGATATTACGATATAATGATAAGTATTTCAACGTCGTTGATCAAAATTTTCGAATTTAAATCAAAATCATGAAAATTGACTTACCTTAAAGTGTAAATATTTTCAATGAGAAATGAGAATACTAAAATGTTGAGGGTTATAGTATATAAAGATTGAAATGGACCACTTTTGTGTATGAAAATAAAAAAATATATTTATTTATTTGCATTCATTAATGCAACAAGAATAATATTATCGTGACCCCATTTATAAAAACCATTTAGTTGACATTTAATTCATAAAAATAGACGTTATATAGTTCATCCAAAGATGTCTACTACAATTTATTAAATATATTTTAAGAATTAAAAAAAAAAATTGGTAAAAAAATTATGATTATTATAAATAAATATTTGTTAAATCTTAATTTCTACTATTATGTCTACATTTTAAAAACTGTCTTTAGAGATACATACTTGAAAAAAAAAAAGTTGCGACGAAATATTAAATATCGTTCGATTCTAAATCAAAAGTTTTATATTCAACTCATGAAATTTAATGATAAATGTTTCAATCTCCAAAAGCAAAACTTTTCAGCACTATTTTAAATTTATTCAAATCCTAAAATTAATTACATGCAAAATAATATCGTTATAAAGAAATCAAGAGTGACATAATGTATTTTAATCCATTATGACAAGTAACTTTTGTGTTAAACCATTTTACCATTTAATATAGAAATTTTTAATGTATACCTAAATTTAATCGAGTTTCAAAAGTAGATATCGATCAAAAAAAATATACTAAAAAAAAAAAAAAAAGAGCATGGTGAATATAAATTTTACCATAGGCAGTTAACTGTGTGGAATAAGAAGAACAGACTTTTGGTACTATGAAAACTCCAAAAAAACCTATAAAAACAGACAAAAATAAAGTGTCAGCAACAATTATGTTAAGTGAAAAAAAGGTGAAAATATAATGTTTCAGTTATTTCTTTCTGCTTGATTTACTGAAAAAATATGTACTTTCTTTTCCATAAAAATATGTACCAAATAAAAAATAATAATATAAATTAAATATATTTGGTGTAATCTCATAAATGAGATATAAAAAAAAAAGATAAAATATAAGTAAATGTTATTTTTGTATAAATATATCGTTTCTGATAGGCATTAGCTCATAGTATTCTAATTAAATAAAATCACCCATTTAAAATGTTATATTTTTAATTTTTTTTTTTTTTGTATATCTAAGCTTATTAACAAAGATATCAAAGTAGGAAGAAAAATCAAGAACATTAGTAGGAAGAATTACAAAAAATGGATCGACGAAATCAGAAATTTCATTAAATAATTCACAAATTTTTAAAATGTTAACTTTATAAATTTTTCGACGAACGATGTTTAATAACTACCTCTTAAAACTCTTTTTGCTAATACCCAAAAAATATTTAAAAAGTTCATTTTCTTTTTTATTTTTTTATTTTTAATTCTTCCCAAATATAAAATAGAAAAACTCACCCAATTTTGACATCTTCCAAATAGTTATGGAACTGCCACATCTTGCAAAAATAAACAGTAGAATTGCCATCTGTAGAGGCAAAATTTTGTCAACTTTCTATTGAATATTTAAAAAATATTAAATGTCAATTATTTAATATTTAAAAATAAATAAAATACAAAAATGAATTTGTTTTTTTTTACCTTCATTGTAGTAGCAGGATCCCCAGAAAAAAGAGCTCTAATTTTCATGAGAAATTCATTTATATAAGGCAATATTAATTTCAATAACCACATTGCTTCTTCTTCTCCTAATACATATTCACTTGATTCACCTATATCATTTGCCTCCCTAAAAAAAAATAGATCAAAAAAATAATAATCGTTTTACATATTATAACAGTAAAGTTAATATCTCTTTCGTTGCGTGATAAATTGAATGATGAAAAATATGTTACGTAAACTGAGAATGAATTTTTTTACCTAAGGGATCTAAATAGAAATATTGTAGCAAGGTAGACCAGCCCCAAATAGGAAATCACAGAAATGAAGCTGTAAAAAAAAATCATTAATTTTACTTTTGATATTATTATTATTATTATTATTGTTATTGTTATTTCAAGAATCAATAAAGAAATATTTTTTTACTAAGTGTGATAATCATATTACCTGATATTGAGATCTTTAGTATATGAAGAGGAAATAATGAAAAATGTTCCAATTCCAAAGATTAATGCTGATTTTGATGTATCTGTCCACATGACCAAATCAGCTGAAAATCAAAAAATTACAAAACCAAAAAAAGAGAAAATTAGAATCTAACATTTGTAGAATGATATTGAATTTAGAAAATACACTTCGTTGCACTAAAGCTCTCGTTATATTGTATGAATCACAACAGTATATTATATGCAGTTTTATTCTGTATTTCTGCAAGAAGTTATTTTTACGATTTAAATCACATGACAATGACTTTACCAGTTACGTTTTTTCGACATTGAATTCTAAAGGACAAGAAAATTACCCAAGCTTGCTAGTTTGCTATGTTGTCTTGGAATATTTCTCTGATATTCATCTGATACTGGAACTGAAAATGCAGCATAAGATTGTTAGGGAATCAATCGAGCTCTGAATATAAAGTTGTCTTTGTTATTCAAATCTAATCAGGCTACTCATTATGTTGTTTAGACTCTCCAAACATATTGTTAAATCCGTGTTAGATTTTTTAACAATGTAATACTTGTGAAGAATCTGACACGCCCCCATCGATATTTTCAAAAAGTACGAGCAACATATGAATACCAGACATCGAACGATAAACAAAACACAAAAAAGAAGCATTAAAGAAAATGGATTTGCCTGGTTTAGTTCTTGATTGATTTGAATGATGATGAAGAGTTCTTGATTGGCCTGAAAATGAAGGAATAGACTGTTTCTTGATAATTGGAGAAATGGACATTTGTTTTTTCTCATTGTTACTTGTATGAACTTTTTTCTCTTCAACAATTACAATCTTTTTAGTTTTAATCTCTTTTGCTAAACTATTTTCCTTTTCAACTTCTTCTTCCAAAATCTTGAAATCTTCATTTTCAAGATTCAATTTTTCTTCACAATTTTCCTCAAGAACCTTATTTTTCTCAAAACTCTTGTTACATTTCTCTGTTTTTGTTTTCACAATTTGAAGTGAATTCTTCAAGTTCCCATTAAGACACATAGATTTCACTTTCCTTAAATCACAATTTTTTCCATCCATATTTTGTGCCTTATTTGCCTCTGATTTCACTTTCCTTAGTTGAATTTGATTCCACTCATTACCATTAACATTCTTCTTTAACTCATCAACAACCTTATTTTCCTCATCTCCATCACTTGATTCAACAAATACCCTTTCAAGATTCCTTTTTGACTCATCAAGAATATCAACAACCTTATTTTCTTCAACAAATACCATTTCAAGATTCTTCTTTGACTCATCAAGAACATCAACAACCTCATTTTCATCACTTGATTCAACAAATACCATTTCAAGATTCTTCTTTGACTCATTAACAACAACCTCATTTTCATCACTTGATTCACTAAATACCCTTTCAAGATTCCTTTTTGACTCATCACAAACATCAACAACCTTATTTTCTTCATTTCCATCACTTGATTCAACAAATACCCTTTCAAGATTCATTTTTGACTCATCAACAACAACTTTATTTTCTTCATTTCCATCACTTGATCCACTAAATACCCTTTTCAGATTCCTTTTTGAAACACCAACAACCTTATTTTCCTCAATTAGAACAATCTCTTGACATTCCTCTGATTTTGCTTTCATTGGTTGAAGTGAATTCCTCAAATTCCCATTAGGAGACACATTTTTCACCTTCTTCATTTCACTCATTTTCTCATTTCCTTCCCTTTTCTTGCTCTGAATTGGACTTCTCTTCATTGCACTAACACTCAATTCTTTACAAAGTTGAGATCTTTTTGTTGATATCTCAATTGGGTTCCCTTCAGAATTACTCTCAGATTTCCAAGTTTTTCTCTTTCCACTCATAACAAAACAACCAACACCAAGATTAGTTTTTGACCCCATTTCCAACTTTTTGTCTTCTTCAACTTCATTTGTTTTCATCTCATCATTTTCAACTTGTGGGGTTTCTTCTTTTTCACTATACACATTCATTCCACCTTTGAATTCATCAAATCTCATTCTATTTTCCCACACACAACTTGCCACAACAACACCATTTCTTGAATCTTTTCCCCTTTTCTTGCTAACAACTTCCATTTTTTTGTGTCTATTGGTGTGTGTGTGTGGTGGGGGTATGTATTAATGTAGCTCAAAAAATGAAGAGGGGTGTGATGAAAGTTATGAATTAGTACATTGGGATCCCATAATACCAGAAAGAGAGAGAAGAGAAGAGTTTCTATTCATTTTTGCCTTCTTTTGGATCTTTTTTGATTTGGTGATCTCATTTATCTTTATTTTCTTTCTCTTTTACTTATTTTGTTGTGTTTCATAAATATGTGTTGTATATCAAAAATTTGTCATGACATCAAGGAGAAGCCATTCAATTCAACTTGTTAATTAGTACTACTAGTTCTTTTAGCATATAATTATGTTATTTGTTCATTTTTATAGTCACTATTAAATATCAAGAAAAGATAGTTACTTTTTATGTGTTAAAATTAACATCAATTGTCATTTTACAAATTGTTTTTCAGGATTTAAGACTATATATAATCTTTTCACAAAAATTTAAAACACAAGAATATTAGTGTATTATTTTTGTATTATAAAAAATTTAACCACCTAACAAGCATTTAAAAACTACTAACATTTATAGGCAATAAGGATAATGTATAAGCCTTCCGTATTACTCCTCGATGTGAAGTCAAATTTAATAGGATTCAAATAAAAAAATTATTAATTGAAAATAACATTTTTCTTAAAAGAAAGCTTTAAACTAACTTAATACATAACTTTTGGTACGAGAAAATGATCTCATATGACCAATTACGTCTGAGTGGTAGAAATTACCCTATAAAAGATCTGTTTTACTTACTCATTTTTAATATAATTTTTTTTATTAATTATATTAGAGTAAATTCCTTTTTTTATTAAAGAATAATTTGGAAAAGGGTAAAAATAAAATAAAATGTAATGTGGGGAGTAATGATTAGTAGTAAATATGAGATGCTATGGTAAATTTAGACACTCACTTTTATGTCAAAATTGGATCTCTCTGACTCTCTCTTTAACCAAGACTAAACTAAAGTCTAGCTCCTCACATGCCATGCCCTTTTGTACTTTTTCCTACTTAAAAATGTTTAAAAAAAATATTTTTTTAAAAATTAAATTTTCTTTACATGCTATGTTTTGTGATTATAAAATTAAAAGATATTTTATTATATTATATATATAAAACGTAAAAAGTTAAATTATTTTCTTAAATTTTATGTCAAATCAAAATGTACTTCAAAAAAACATAATGCACATAGCAATGACTAATTTTCACGATTTAATTTTGATATTGATTCTATATCTTTTTTTCAAGACTCTCAAGTTAATTTATACGATATAATTTTAGCATTATACATGCACAATATGAGTTTTTGTTTTACTCTAGAAATAACTTCACCATTATTTACGAAATCACTATATTATATCTGCACTATTTATTGAGTGACCATACAACTATAATTATAATATAACAATCAGTCAGAAAAAACATTACCCTAATGGTTAAACAAAAAAAAAAGTTATAATAATGATGAATTTTAGGGTGAAAAACAATTGCATTGGGGGGCAAATGATAATGTTTAGGGTGAAAAGTAGTCCATGAATTTGTGCATTATTGGCTCCTACATGGCTTAATTATCATTATGCATGATTATAATTATTAATAAATTGAATTATAATATCTGATATTTAAAACTCATGGCATATTTTCTAAAATTCTCAATCATCTCATGTTTCTTATAAGAGTTTTAACTTCAATGATGTAGTATAAATATTATTTTTACCATCATATTAAAATTCCATGTGTAGTATTTGATAAATTGTTTATATTATTAATATTGTAACTAACCTACATATGAAACATCATGTTTTCATTATCCAATTCATGAATTGCATCAAAATGAAGAATTCAAGAAAAGATATGCATTTCAAAGAAATTTTTTGATGTTTTAAAAACAAATAATTAATCATTTATTTCTCATGTTAAGATAATATCACATAAATTAAGAGAGATGCTATTATTTATCGTTATATTTTTCCAAACACTATTCGTAACTCTATTTTAAATGGAAGAAAAAAAGTGAAAGAATGTTGGGATGAATGAAGAAAGGAGTTTTTTTTTTTAAAAAAAAAAATAAATATATTTTTTAACTTTTTTATTTTTTATTTTTAAGCATGTGAAGTTAAAGCATAGGTGGATAAGGCTGCATTTGGATTGTGACCCAAAAAAAAAAAAAGAAGAAAAAAGCAATGTTGTTGATATGTTATGTTTCACCAACATGTGTAATTAAAGGCATCTTCCTATTATTTTGTTTTGCTTTATGGTTGTTTGCAATTGCTTCACATTCAATTAATTATTTTTCTCTTTATCCCCTCATGACCCTTCTTTGAGTTATTAGCAGTAAAGATGAGTGGTTTGATGTCAATTTCATAGTTATATATAATCAGATATTTCATAATCGAGCTTTAATAAAAATTTTAATTTTTACTGACTGATGTATATTTTTTATCAAAAAATTATGTAGTGTATAGAAGTTAATGCTATCTAGTACTTATTATGTCCTACTTTGAGTTCTCGAATTGTTATGCGAGAAGAAGAAACTACTATTATCGGACTAGAAGTTAGTAAAAAAAAAAAGAACTTCAAAGGTGAGATCACACATATACTACTTAACTAACATAATTGAGAAAGAAAATCTATACACATTCTTTATTTATGTTGTTGGCTCGAGACTTCCATTATTATTATAATTATTTTCTTATTTATTATATTATATAGAATGGAGACTTGGAAGAGTGTGAAGAACTGTTTGGCTTTATAATTTTTAAGTTAAATATAAGAAGTTTATTATTTTATTTGCTTCCACTAAAAAATATATATTAGTTTCTTGGTGACTTTTTGAACTTTGCTCCACATGCTGAGCGTTGACGGCACGTGATATTGCAAAATCTCTGTTACATAAACATAAAAAGTTATTTAATTCAAATTTTGACTAATTTTTTTTTTATCGAGTTAAACAACATCACGTAAAAATGAAACGAATAGAAGGAATGATTGTTCTAGTTATTAAAGCAAATGCAAATTCAACAACAAAACTATGAATGAACTGGGGATAATAACCATGAAATAATACAGGGAATAAAAAATGACACTAACTGAAAGATTTAACAAAATGGACAACAAATTTCTATGTTATCATTTTTTTTTTTTTAAAAAAAAAAAAAAAACTTCTCAAAGAATTTCTACATTCTTTTTCCTAAAAAAAATATGTACGATAAGCCTACCGCCCCAAAGTAATTCCATCTGCATACTCTTAAGATTCTGCAAGAAAGTTGAAATGAAATAAACAAGAAAAACAAGAGTTTTAGAAAGGATCAGTAAACAGAAAAGGAGCATGACTATGTTGCTCGGACTCGTAAAAAATGTTGTTGCACCCGTGTTATTCTTCAAAAAAGCATTAGTTTTGAAGTATCCGACATGCACCAGGGGCGCGTTTTTTTAAAGTCTGAGCAACATAGGCGGCAACAACATGTAGTTCTGGGATTACCTCTCATAAACAAGGATAGAAGTACTCTGTGGGTGGCATCGAACCTAAACCAACGGTATCCAGTTTTTCTGCAGAGAAATGTGCATCGTTCTTTATATCAGTCAGATAACAGATTTCTCGCTCCCCATGAAATCTTCAATCTCAATGAAGTTTTGCCATGACGAAGAAAAGTTGCTTTCATGTTTTCAACGAAGACATGCTCATGCTCTTTTCATATAATACATTGTTTCGGACGGTGTCAAGTTTTCTCCGAATGACTCATCTTCTGCTTCTCCATTGCTTCCTTCTCTGCTTTCTTTCTCTCAAACTCCACCTGCTTCCGGTTCTCCTCTAGGGCTTGATTGAACATCCTTCGGAAGTTCAGTAACGTTGTGATAACTAGGGGGAAAAGAGGAATGATGTCAAGCTGGGCACCTCATTTATAGCTACAGGTCTAACTGCGCACATATGATTATACAAAATGCCTTGTTACCAGTTTCGAAAATGATCATATGCTTTGTTTAATTTGTACCCGTGTAGAATAGTAAACTCAAAAGATTTAGTGATATGAACAAACGCTACCACAAGGCAAGGCACATAGAAAATCTGAAGCACATTTTATTGGATGATCACTTATCAAACATTACCTTGTTCAAATGGGCAACGAGCTGGATCTTCTCCAAAGTATAGAATCAATGTGTCAACATTTCTACCCTGTTGGAAAATAAAGAAGAAAAATATACCGTTAGGAGCATCTCAATGTCGTAAGACTCCAAATGACCATGAAAAATTTTGTTAGGAACAAGACCTACCACACCAGAATAAAGTTGAGCCAAGGACCTCACTTCACCTTCAGCATAACAGAGAAACTCCTTCAAAGCCTGGCAAACGGCAATTATACTAATCAATGAGAATATTCATAATCTACTTACTGATCTCTCTTGTTCTACCAGCACAACATGTACAAATAAAATGTTTCAATCTCTTTGTTGATTCCATCGGCTATCCCAAGGTAAAAAAAAAAGAATAAGGAATAAGAAAAAAGTTAATAAGAGGAATCCCATTCCAGTGACAAGGATACATGAGTGCTTTTTTCCTCCTCGTCTTAATTAAGAATGATCAAAAAGAATAATGAAGTTACCAAGCTTAAGGATGACAAGAGATGAAGTGAAAAAGAAACAGAACTCCCATACTTGAAATGCGCTATCATCTACTGTGATCACTACTTAGGCGCCTCTTAGTGGATGCCAAAATCACGCTTATTTATTTTCATTTTTGATTGAGTGGGTAGAGTCGCCCAGAAAGAGGAAGAGACAGAATCTGACGGTACACAGAAATCAGCATTATTCTGTAGTCATGACTTACCTTACGGAAATTCTCAGACACAGCTCCGTCGTTCTCAGACATGGACAGTTCTTGTACAACTTTCTCCAGTCCTTTGCTAATAGCTTGCATCTCCTCTGCAAGAAATTTCAGTTGTATCTACAGAAAATTTTTAATCAGACCATTGTCAGTCATATTTCTATAGTGAATTTTGAATTAATTGGACCAAATAATGTTACCTTTGCGCACGGTTCCAAACTAGAAAGATCATTAGAAAAATCTAGCAGTTCGGGCAATTTGTCAGCAAGTACCTGGCAGAGAAAATATCTTTAAGCATCTTGTAAAATATGCTGGTTGCTGACATAAGCTATACTCAAATTCAAATCATTTTCCCAAGTGAAAATCTTAAGTTACAAGTAGCAAAATATCAGCACAACGAGGAGAAAATAGTGAATATAAAGACACGTAGTTGTTATGGTAACACTTTATAAAGAAAAGGTTGATACCGGTCAGCGCCTACGTGCTAGAGGATAATTTAACATCAATAGGATAAGAAATCTGGAAGTACCACATGCGCCATGCAACTTATAGGATAGAGATAATTATATAGATTGATTTGATAAATGTAAGGAAGCTGATAACAACGTAAAAGCCAAGTTTTGTGATTTGATCTCATGTCGTGAGAAAAGATCCATTCGTGTGCATCAGTCATTGTTTATTTTGTTTTTTATTTTTAAAATTAAGACTTCTATTCTTCCTTTCAGCTAAGCTTCTTATAATCAACTTATATACAGATTCAGAAACCCAAGTAAGAGATAATCCCTGATTTATCCAACGAACTTCAGACACTAATTCCTTTTTATCAACCTGACCAGTTAGGGTTGAGTTTATAACTTGTCTTTACTAACTTCAGATATAGACACTTTTAGCTAGATAAAAGCCAATACAAATTTCTTTTACAGATGATCCTGGGACACAATTGAAAAGGACCTGATGAGAGAAGGTGTAATCAACTGATCTGATTATGCAAATTCAGGTCACAGATAAGAGAAAATATAACTCATGCTCAACATAGATGATCCCTTCCAAACAAGCAAATGTCCTTGAAAGCTGGCTTTAGCTTAATGTGCATATTACTAATCACTGACCAAGCATCACAGATTTTTGCGTCAGAAATTATTTAAGAAATGCTATGACTCATTTATTTCAGAAGACGATCAGATTTGCCAAGAATTTGGGGACAGAGTGAACAAATTTTATTCTGCATTCTGTTCAAGATAGGAGGAAATATATGTGTAATAGAAAACACCAGCCCCAAAATATTAGTCAACCATATCATCATGCTTTCATCAAGAAGAGTGTCAATCAAAGACTGTACCTTGCAAAGATAATGCATGAGAGTCATCTTATTGTTCCGTGCACGTGTCTCTGTTAGTTTTAGGAGGCTATCTAACCTGAATCCAACAGCAGAACCTACAGAAATCATCAAGAGATTATTAGATGAGTCGAAGATAATTTCTCAAAGATCTCTTTTTTGGTAAGAACTGCATTTATCATCTAAATGAAGCAGGGATTTTTCAATAATTTCAAGACCAGAAAAGCCAAAGGAGATGACAATTGCAGAGATATATCATTTCATCAGAAAATCTTTGAGCCATACCCAGTTGATTTATTTGACATGTTTTCCTTATCTAGAGTTTAAATTTCTATTGCTGAAGTTCTCAACTTGGAAATCTTTTGGTGGGATCAATTTTCGAAAAATTTCATGAAACGTAATTGGGTAAATCTCCATAAGAATTAGACCTATTCAATAACAGATATGCAGGCTGTGGTTTCCACCCTACAGGGATTTTAAAAAAGCAAGTTTAGATGATCCTTAGCAGGAACAATATCAGTTAATCTTCTATACAGATCTGGACCTGATTATTTTTGTGGTAAGTGCACCAGCATAGGTGAATGGTCTAAGCTAATAGGTTTAAGTGTTGATGATGTGCATTTAATTTCTCAATTCCACACACACCATAGATTGTGTAATTTCTTTTGTCATTTGTCAAACAGGTCACTCCTTTTCTTTTGGGTAGGGGAACTCTTCAACTCACTCCCACAGAGAAAAAAAAGACACCATAATTAAGAAATCAATAGCAGATACGCTTGAAAATAAAAGAGATGTTTACCCACCTCTAGCAGTTCCCTGGTTCAAAGCATTTCCAAGAGAGAGAATTGTTTGCATAATCCTTTTCAATTTTGATGAACCTTTAATCTGATTACAACATCAAAGAGAAGATGATATTCAAGGACAGCATCAAGAAAGAAACCTCTTGTCTCATCTAAAAGTGGTAAAGCATTTAAGTTGGAAAGAATAAACAAAAGAAATGTGCCTGATCAGCTGCCGAATTTACAATATTCAGACTCTTCCTTAGCTCAGAAACCTGAAATTGAAAGAGAACAAATACGCTGTCAGTAAGCGAAACATTCCCAGTGCAACAAAAAGGCAGCAGAACCAGGCAAAGTGGAACCTATTAGCATAGAAATATTGCAGCTCAATCAGTAAAAGAATAAGACGAGGTTGGCATCAGCCATCTTCTCACCTGAGATTCAAACTGAATCTTAAACGAAAAAACTCTCAGCTTGGACTCTGTTCGTGGTACTTGCATCAACTCTAACATAAACTGCAACAGCGAAGAGATCTTACAATTAGATGTTACTATATAAATGGTCCAATCAATTCCATACAAGGATAAAGTGGGATAGTAAGCAAAATTAAGGAAAAAAAGGTTAGTTCACAATGAACAAACCTGTTCACATCGACCCAACTTCTCCTTCTCTCCTTTATAACCCTGAAGCAGAAATGCAACTAAACAAGGTTATTCACTGTGTTCCTATGTACATTTAATTATTAGTTTTCCTTAATTCTATTCAATCAGATCTTTCACCTTAAGAGTTTCCATCTCCTCCTTAGTTGGGCAAAACTTGATCAGATTCTCCACCTGATCCACATCTAGTGCAGAATCTTCCAGTGCAAGCACCGAGCTCTGTTAAAATTGTTAAAAAATGGTAGCTAACAATTAGAAGCAGAATCCAACTTTTAACAGAAAATAATCCACACAATTGACGTTATATTCATGAACCTTGGGCCTACCTCAACCCCAAAAGCTAGCTCATGCGGTAAGGATTGTCCAAAACTATATAAGGAGAACAATTACCCATCTACCACTAATATATAATTAATCTAAAGATGTGTTTGGGTGTAGGGACGTGTGTACATCATTCTTGGAAATAATCACATTTCAATGTAACTCAACTATATGCAGGATTATTGTCCACGGACCATCACAAAGAGAGATGACAGGAAGAGGTGGAGAATGTTAACAATGAGAACATCTAGCATGCAGAAAGTGCACAACCAGGACTAAAGTTTGTGATTACAAGATTCAACACGTACAAACACCCTGTCCCGGGATAGGTGACACTTGAATGGCTTTGCTTTCTTTAAATAACAGATTATACTTAAATCAGCAGGGATATGTACATTGGTTATACAATAAAGTAGAGTCTTATGATACTAAAAGACGTAAGTTTTTTACCGATACAATTAAGCAGACAGAGTCCAAATCAATAGTAAGTTCCCATTTAAGCATTATTTGAAAACTGAACATTTTGCAAACAACCTCTAACAAGGTCTACAATGTGATTGTTATTCATATTTCTGAGAGGAAGTTTAGTACAAAAGTGAGAAAACAGAAAGGGAGTGAACTATATAGATAAGCAGTCTAAGAACAATGGCACACAGTTCAGAATAATTGCTTATTAAGAACACAAAAATCAATCGAACACTGGAAGCTATAAAATATGGGACACATAACATGCTTTAACTATTTGAACTTGAATGTCAAATGAATCAGTGTGATTACAGCGCTACCCTACTGCAGGTATACAGGAGTGAATAAATGATTACCCAAGATATATGACACAGATGAATACAAACAATTGGTACAATCAGCTGCATGTCAGATATATATATTCTAGAATAACCATATTATCCAAAAAGAAAGCCAATTGTATATGTACACAGCTTACCAGCATTTCATGCAGTGGTATTTTCACCTTAGAAAGCATGATTTCACAATTATAAGCTCGTCTGTGATCAACCTGCCAAAATAGAGTTCAGGTAAATGCTCTCTTAGAACATGAAAGAGCTGAAATAGTGCCACACTTCCATCTTTTCTCTGCAGCTATATGCGAAGAGAGAACAGGCAGTGTCTTCCCCAGAGCTATATGAGTATCAGGTGGAAATGGATTCTATCAGATGTTACTCATGAATAGGTTTTCAGTGAATCCGTGACAAAGAAGCTTAGATAATCTGTGGAAACAAACTCGGGAAGCAGAAGTAAAAGATTTTGTCTGTCCAACCATCATGGCATTATATAACTGTAAAAGATCCCTATTCACAGGCCTAAGAGACAGAATTTATTAATTAGATTTTTTAAAATACAGAACAATGTAAATATTGTAAGAATAAAAGCAATAATTTCTTTATGACGTGATGTCTGGCCAACTTGCGCACCTCGACTACCGGATATCTGCTACCTCCCACAAGCACAGATACCAGGTGATGTTTTCTGCCAAAGCTTAGAAATATTGGAAGAAATCACCTAGTGTGAATTTGAACCTGAGACCTCATGGTTCTCCCCCAATTTCATCGACCACTAGGTTACACTCTTGGGTGCAGCAATAGCTGATATTTATTTATTTTTGACAAGGTAAAGCAATAACTTATATTTTACTGACCCTCAATTAAACAAAAAGGCAGACTGGTGCAAAAAACATCCAATCCTGCGTTCACGCAAAGTCGGGGAAAGGGCCGACTTCAATCATGAGTATAATATCTCTGTTGACCCTAGATTCAAAGAATGTGAATAAAGATTAAAATCCAATTACATGGCTGCCTCAGTACAGTCCACTGACTTATGCAGTTCCTTTTTTCCAACAACTTTCTTTTAAAGAAAAGGACCAACTGCCATAAGGTTTGGCATCCTCAATAGTGAAACTATTGTTCCTAGTGTCTTCAATTTTATGTTATTCAGAAATCAAGGGACGGTTCTGATTTCTGAATGAATAACACCATGCACATTTGACAGCTTTCAGATTTGACATTCTTGACAATCCAACCACGGTCCATTCTGGTATTAATATTTATATGTAAATTTAAGTATGATTTCTAAGTAATCAGCGCGACCTCCTATCTAAACATGCTATACATCAAGTGATATTACATTAAAAAGAAAAACAAAGATCACTGAGAGCAATGATGACTACAACATATCAGCACTGTGCCTCTCTCCTTACACACTCAGGTTTTCAGGAATTTCAGCCAAAGAATTTCATTCCAGAAACCCTTCTGAAAACAAAATTTTTTAAGCTGAAAACTAGCTGATCCAAAAAGGAACCACGTGAAAACACAGAATCGTGTCAAGAAAGAGGGAATGGGGAACAAGCTGCATTAAAGGAAGTAATGAAGTACAAGACCATGATCAGAAAGTGTACGTTAGAATTAGACTGTTCATAATATTTAAGATTCTTAGGTTTATGTCAAACCATGGAACACCTCTGCACCAGGAACATTGCAAATGACTTTATAAAGATAAAATGATTTAGGGAAATTTTTTATGAAAATCTACAAGGAACCTCAGATGTCATATAGTCATATAAGCAATTACCAGTTGCACTTTCTCCAGCTTCTGCCCCATTGAGGTCCCTGAATTCCTTTTCCCTCCTGAACTGCCTTGTCCTGAAGTTGGAACTGCAGCTGAAAAGAGGGATTCAAGCTCTGATATATCAATCTCTGGTGCCCTATTCAAATAGAAATTGGAGGGGACATCAGAAGTTATATCTCGAAAGAATTTTAAGAAGATTGACTAATGGCTACTTTCACACTCATAGTTAGCACCTACTTGGGAGCATCACTACATTTTTGAGCCTCGGCCCACAAGCTTCCTGAGACTGCTCTAGATATTTTTAACCAATGCAAAGGCTTCAGTTTCTTTGATGACTGACTTCTTGAATTCATGGTACGAGACAATGGTCCTCGTCCCTTTAAGCCAGGTGGAGGAGCAGAAGGTGGGGGTGGAGATGGAGAAGTAGGGAGATTACTACCTTTGGATGCTGACTGTATCATACCAGAACCTGCTTTTAGATCCGGCTTAAGAGAAGGGACTGGAGGAGGGGGAGCAGAAGGGACAGTTTGTCGAGAACCCAACGCAGGAGGAGGGGGAGCAGAAGGGACACTTTGTCTAGAACCCAAAGCAGGAGGCGGAGGAGGTGGTGGCATTACAGATACATTTGCAGGCTTAGAAGCTTGAGAAGCAGGCAAAGGAGGGGGTGGAGGTGGAGCGGGTCCACCATTGAACGAGGAGTTCTCCTTCATAGATTGCACAGGAAGAGGTGGAGGCAGGGGTGGAGGTGGTGGCTCCCTGGTTAGGGGAACAACTTTTTCCTTCAAAGGTGGAGTAGGTGGAGGTGGAGGTGGAGGCGGTTCACTAATAGAGGCAGAATTTGGGCTCAATATTTGGGTTGTATTTAACTGGCATGGAGGTGGAGGAGGAGGTGGTGGTAGTGGCGGTGACTTATCTCTAAAAGCTGAACTTTCCTTCAAAGTTGGGACTGGTCCAAGTGGTTCACTAGTACAGACAGAATTCTTGCTCAATACTGGGGGTGTAGATAATGGGTATGAGTCTCGAGGAGGTGGAGGTGGAAGCGGAGGTGGTGGAAGTGATGGCACCCCTCTGAAAACTGAATGTTCCTTCAAAGGTGGGGTGGGAGGAGCAGGTGATTGAGGTGATCCACCAACAGAACCAGCATTCTCGTTCAATAGAGGGATTGGATGTTGTGAAGGTGGTGGTGGTGGTGGTGGTGAAAAATTACTACTCTGGACGAACTGTTGTTCTATAGGTTTGATAAAGGGAATGGCAGCTGATGGAGAAGAGGAATTAGGAGGAGCTAGGGATGGAGGACAACTTTTAGAAGGATGAAGAGGTCGAGTAGGTTCCTTTTTAGCAGCTTCATCACCTAGCTGCTGCGCTGTCCGAGGAGGTGAAGTAGACTCCCCTTCATAAGCTGGCTGCTGCAGTGTCCGGGGAAGTAGAGGTGCATCAGATTGAGACATAGCAGGTCTATCATCCTTCAAGGAAACAATTGGAGAACATTGTGTTCTGGGTGGAGTAGCCTGAGATGCAGAAGGTATAGTTCCAGTGACTAGTTTATCCTTCACGGGAGGAGTGTGTGGTGATGGTACCAAGGGGGATGGAGATAGAGACAACCCAGTAAGATGAGGAGATGAAGCAGGTTCTCCTTTATGATCTGGCTTCTGTGCTGCAAGAGGAAGCAGATATGTATCAGGTTGAGACAAAGTAGGTTTTTCATCCTTCAAGGATGCAATTGGAGGACCTTGGGTTTTGGGTGGAGTAGCAGGAGATGCATAAGGTACAGGTTGAGATGAAGTAAGTTTTTCATCCTTCAAGGATGCAATTGGAGGACCTTGGGTTTTGGGTGGAGTAGCAGGAGATGCATAAGGTACAGGTTGAGACGAAGTAGGTTTTTCATCCTTCAAGGATGCAATTGGAGGACCTTGGGTTTTGGGTGGAGTAGCAGGAGATGCATAAGGTACAGGTTGAGACGAAGTAAGTTTTTCATCCTTCAAGGATGCAATTGGAGGACCTTGGGTTTTGGGTGGAGTAGCAGGAGATGCATAAGGTACAGGTTGAGACGAAGTAGGTTTTTCATCCTTCAAGGATGCAATTGGAGGACCTTGGGTTTTGGGTGGAGTAGCAGGAGATGCATAAGGTACAGTTCCAGTGACTAATTTATCCTTCATAGGAGGAGTGAGCGGTGCTGGTGTCACTGGTGTAGGAGATAGAACTAGTCCAATACCAATACCCTGATCCTTCCCAGGTATGGATGAGGATGCAGGTGAAGTAGGAATGCTGGTCTTAAAGGGTGGAGTCCTGATCTCAGGTAAGGCAGGAAGGTCATTCAGCTTACCATATTCTTGTACATGAGGATCCAACTTCTTTACAAGTGGGGGATGTTCCGACGTTGGAAGAATGTACAGGGACGGTTGTGATGACACAGAAGACGCACTAGATTCTGTACTGAGGTCAGCAGGAGAAGGTTTTGAAAGAGGAATTGACGGCTGCAATTTTGACACCTTCATCTCACTTTTGGTCCCAACAAATTGAGCTTCAGCTTTCTGTTGGTCACTTTGTTGTACTTTGGAGGATGATTTGATGGATGACATAGACTGCTGCTCCAATATAAATGGTGATGAGCCCTTTGCATCATTGTCCACTGGTGCAGGTCCCTTCCTCTCTCCAGGAGTCTCCAAATTCACTTGATCGAGGAGCAAGCTAGTGTCTGTAGGCAGGGGAGGAACGGATTCCAAATTTTCCTGAATTAAACCTGACGTGGTTATTTGTTGGAGCACATTACGAGCAGCACCAGCATTTGGACTTATCCAATCCACAGAGCTAAAGATTTCCTGAACTTTGGCAAATGCCTCCACTGGTAGGCCGTCCTTCTCCTCAAAACAGGACAAATCTACAGGAAGAACAGAAGCAGCAGTGTCCATCTCTGAGAAAAGAACCTTCATCCAGACAACTTTCATAAATTACAACATGCTTCTAGATGGAGAGTATCAACAAAAAAAAATGCATTTTATACGAACAATAATACCTCTGCTCTGAAATCTTTTGGAAATTGATCTTTAGCATCCCATAAAGTGTCAAGTTCATCACGATTAAGAATCAAAATGTTTGACCTAATAAAAGCTGTGTTAAACATGGTCCTAAACATCATCTGTTCCCGCTCCAAATCATCGTGCAAGCAAATACATTCCAAAACAACATCGCCTTGAATATGGCAGTTGATATCAATCTTAACCAATTCACATTCGGCCTGAAATATTATAAGGAATGTTGAATCAATACTAGTCAGTTGGGTCCTAAGAGGGCATGCATAACAAGAATGGGAAAGATGGGGCGAGGGAGAAAGACCAAGATATAACAGGTACATGCATTTTCAAGCATGTGAAATTAACAACCTATCAACTGAACTCCACTTGAGCAAAATCATAAGAATAATGGCATTAGAACAAAATGTCATAAGGTTCAAGTAGAACAACTTGTTAAATAGTCCAATTCACTCTAAATCAAACATCTCAATCCCAACGGAGGACCACCACTTGACGAATTAACAAGGTCATAGAGGAGGAAAAATCGTAAAATTGCTTCTTTGGGAAGATGAAAGAAGCGAGAGAACTGTAGAAAATTAAACATTAGGTAGTTGATCCACTCTAAGTTAAACATATTGATCTCATTGAAATACCATAAGTTGTACTATCATAAAAAAAGTTCCCCATATGTTCCTTGGCCTATTTCGAGACACTATTCATAAGTGTTTTTTCAACGATAAATGAATCTGTTAAGGCTATATGTCAGTCCTAGAAACAAGCAGGGGCAGAGCCACGTGCATGTCAGGGTTTCGTCAGGAAAAAATACCGTATATACAAGTAAAATGACACACAAAGTGATTAGATAATGTATTTTGGACAGCCTTGCCAAAATAGGTTGTTGTAGCCAAATGGTTTTAGACCCCTTAATGAGTTTCGGACCCCTTGAATGAGCTAGTGCTCGTGTGTTTGAATCTCACTAGCAAACAATTTTTTTCTCCTTTTAAAAAAAAGCTTTTGTTGTGCACTTTCAGGACACTCTTCGTGAAATTCCTGGCTATGCCACTCGAGACAAGCATCATCTCTAATTAACAGAATAGAATAAAGATACCCTACCTCAAAGATGGCATAAACCCTTTGGAAGTAACACATGATTTTAGTAGAGGAAAAAAACATATTACCTGCTTGTAATGCCTGACGACTTTATTCCTCTTTGGAGTTGAGAACAAAATTTTTGGTGCTCGATCAGAAACTAGAAACGGGTCCTGTCCATAGATACGAAATATTGGCCGGCAACCACCCTCGCCATCAAAATTTGGTATAGCCCTAATAATGATGCAATCCAATGTGAGTGCTCTATCCAATGGAGGCCACTGCATGTTCACATTCCTCCTGGCTACATACTGTAGGTATCTTAGCTGAGAAGGAATTGGATTTAGTGGCTGCAGCAAGTACAAAAGCTCACGAGGAGCCTGCTTATAAATCATGTCTAAGGTCTTCTGCTCTCCAGTGTAATGTTTCCTGTATATCAATAATGCAGCCAACATAAATGCCAAAACTGGCCAACCACCCCGTTCACAGTGCATTAAAAGCACATTTTGTTGCCCAAGTGAGAGCCAACTTTCACTGGATCTTAGAAAATGGTGCATCACCTCCATTGAAAGCAAGGGACAACCCTCATAGTGCCGAGGGTAGTCCATTATTGTCAGATCATACTCAGACAGAATATTTGCCATCAGGCTCTGCGACACACCCTCACGAAAATTAAAAACTAATATTGACGCGTCAGGGTAATGATCCCGAAGTTGACTAATCACGCCTCCTGCATAGCCTTTGTAATTTTCTTCCTCCCAAACATCAGTGGTGAAACAGCAATCAAATACTACATTTAAAAAAATAGAAGAAATTATTAGCAAAACTGTTGTACCACCAGGCATTAACATTTTCAAGTCACAAAATACTTTTGTGTTGATAAACAGAGATGACATGACCAAGCTGTAATAATCTCGGCCTCCTGCAATATGTCGAACTCTAAACATAAATATTTTGAAAAAAAAATTAACAGTGAGAAACATTTTCTCTGCCACATTACTGTTCCGTGTTTTTTGTCCGTTTTCAAAGAGAAAACATTTGGATTCTATTGTCAGAGTACTGATTGAAACACTTCAAGGAAGCATGCCAAGGTGTTTCTTGACAGTGTCCCTTTTAGTTTTAAAGGCATTGATTGAATAACATCACATTTTTGAGTTGTTGTCTTTATTAGATTCAGCATTTTCTCCATTCCTTCCACCTTTTTCTGGGCCACGTAAGAGTAAGATACCTAATTTACATGTACTCAAAACTTGATAGAATTGAAAAAACTACTGATTGAAGATTATCTAAAGCATCACTTCCTCAAGTATTTTTGCCTTTTTGTTCTACACATCGAAGTATGACTGATCAAAAATGTTCAACTCACAACTGCTGGAAAGCTAACCTTTTCTGCCGGGTGACATGGTTTTCCTTTCATCTAACCCTAATAGAAAACATGTCTTAGCCTAAAGAATCAGTTCAATCCTCTGCCTCTTAAGTGCCTGAGTCTTCCACTTCAGGCCTAAATACATTTATAATATTGAAGGCCTTATTCATTTATAATAGTCCAATTGATCATTTGTGCTGCCATTATGCATTAGAGTCTAGCACAACCAAACTTCGAGCTAAATGACCCATACTTTGAAAAAGCACTATTTTAGATTAAGTTGGTGGCAGAAACTAAGAAATTTCATTATATATACTAAACAAAGCACAAGCAGGCTTTTAATTATAATATTCCCAAGTATTACACTAGAGTATTTTGCGTGAAAAAGACAAGCTGAATCCTCTGCCCATTAAGCAGCTTATGCCCCGACTCGGCGCAGCTCAGCTAGGCAGTTTGTATGGCAGTTTCTTCATTGCAAATAACTTGCATTTTGCTTCCACTCACAATTCCAACTTAACATACCATATTTTCTTATAATCGAGAAATCACTGAGGGCCAGATGGCATACAGTTCAAAATATGTACTTCAAATTATCCAAAAGTAGCTAAAGTCTAGTCTTAATTTGTATTGAAGGCCTAAATACATTCCTCTTCAATTTCAGTAATAATAAAGCTCCTTTCCGAATCCGAACAAGGAAATATATCTCCACTGGCCTCAAAGTAGCAACAAAAATGATTTCTTTTTTCAATTTTCTATGTCTAAACAGAGAATAATCACTTCTTCTTTTTTGTGTTACGTGACACCCAGGTTAACTTGCACACACTTTGAATAATTCCAGCGATACTTGTCACCTCCCACCATGATAACTATGGTGCCCGAGCCAACTTGCGCGCACCTTAATTAACTCTATAGCAAACCTGCCATCTCCGACCACCAGCATGTACCACGTGGACAAAATGTAAAAAGGTGGATAAATTTTATACCCACTTTAACTAATTCCATGGAATACCTACCATCTCCCACCATGATAAACATGGTGCCCGAGCCAACTCGTGCACACCTCAACTAACTCTACGTCATACGTGCCACCTCCTTTCAGCAACATGTACCAGGTGGACAAAACTTAAGCGCACCTCAACTAATTACACGGAATACCTACCACCTACCACCATGATAACCATGGTGCCCTTCTACGTGATACTAGTCGACTCCCACCAACAATATGTACCATGTGACTCTATCCACCAACGCTATCACCAACGCTAGAAATAGACTAAAAGTAAATATTTTTGTCTCTGCAGCTGAGACCTCATATTGCTCAACCCACTTCTTTAATCACTAAACCACCCTCTTAAATACATAAAATAATCACTTCTTCACGTTTCCATTTCCCCATTATAATTACATATTTCACACATTGAAACATAAAGTATATACCAAAAAAAAAATCAAAACTTTTCTATTTACTCCAGCTCGATCTCAAATAAAAACAATAAAAATCCACAATTACAAAACCTCCATTAATTTAAAAAAAATAGAAACATACCATAAACTCTCTCGCAGATCTCTAACAGTCCATCAGGTGGTTTCCTATAGAACAATTTCCGTAACAGTGCCATTTCCGCTTAATAATTCAAAAAAAAAAACACCTTCTTCCTTTCAAATTTCACAAAAAAAATAAATATCTATACATACAAATATATTTATTCATATATACAATACATGTGTATCTATACAATATACATATATATCTATATATATTTTGAAAATGGAGAATTTTTGTTGAAGCTTTGAGAGATCGCTTAACGAATAAAGAGGAAGAAGAAGAAGAAGAAAAAGAATGGATTTTTGTAAGAAAAACGACGACGTGGAAGGCATTTAAGCAAGGCAACGTAGACTTTGGAAAAGGAAATTTTATTTTATTTATATGTTACTTCAATATATATCTCATATTGGAAATTTTGTCATTTAATGGGAAACTACCCTTCTTAGGAGTATTTGACAAAAAAAGAAAATCACTTTTCTTTTTGTTGTCATAATTTCTTTTTTGAAAATTATTTATAATTAAATATTTAAAAGTATATATCCGCTATCTTAATATGAAAAAAATAAAAAATAATATAATTTATAGTATTTTTTATTAAGGTTATTCAAAGCAGATTACTTGAATCGAAAAAGTTATTAAATTTTCGGTAATAGTTATTCGTTTAACATTTTTGATAATGATTTTCATTTTTTTATCATTAATTCTTAATGGTTTGAAGTTTTTTTTAGATTAATCGATAACATATTGAAAATTAAATAATTATATTTGTATCATTTATTGCATAAATTTCATATTTTTATTTTTATTTTTATCAATAATAATTACATACTAGGCATTTTTACAAGTAAACAATTTCATTTTAAGATTGTAACAATGCACGTTATTTTCAATATAATAAATTAAACAAATCAATATAAAATAATTCCAAAATAAAGCATACTTTACGAGGAAAGAACCACTATCAAATTCGATACGTACTCTTTAACATTTGTTTTCTTGTAAATCGATGTGAAACAATTTTGTTTGCATATAAATTTATATCGGATGGTGATGAACAATGTCTCATTCAATTGATATTAAATTATACTTTTATGAAATAAAATTACATGATTTAAAAGCAATTATATACAAAAATCACTAATACAATAATAACATTAATATTATAAGAATTAATAATATATACTTCTCTCATAATTTTCATCGAACTTTATTAATCCCTCGATCATACTTTGTAAGACTTGTTATGATAGGAAATGTACACAAAATTGTCATTTCTTTCTATTTTCCTTTCCTAATGAGCTTTTCATGTGCTTGCATATCTATTAAAGGAAGTACAATCTTTTTTTAATTACTTTACGTAAAGTTTTAATGTTAGCAATATCATATTTTTATAATTAGGAATGAAACCAAAAATGATTTTGTTTATTTTTCATTCGATATTTATATTAAAATTCAATTAAATTATATTCACGTCGTGTAAGATTCATTTAAGAGTGAAGTTCTCTCTAATGTAAACTTTTTCAGATCCAAGATTCGAATTTGAGGCCGTTGGACCAATTTTTAGAAATTAAAAACTAATCAAATTTTGCAAAAAAAACTAATTTTTTTTTTTTAAAATGTACTCCTAAAATTCTTAGTTAAATGGGAACTTATTAATATTAGCTATAATTAGCTATGATTATGATGCTTCAACTTAACTTCATTCTTACCTATAGCAAAAATGATATTGACCTTTTTACCATATAAATTCATTATAATTAACTTATTTACTAAGATACAATTATATATTAAATTAATTAAAATTAATTACTAAATCTAATTTATGTGTAAACACATAATATATGTGATGTATTTATTAACTTGAAATAAACGTCATTTTTACCAAGAAGGGAGTGTGATACACAATTACTATATACAAAAGAAGAATTAAAGTAAAGTTTAAGATAAAAGTAAAGTTGTACATCATGTAAGTAAAAATTTAATATTATGATATTTTAATCTAAAACTCAAAATTCAATATTTTGTTAATTCAGAAAAAGATTAAGTCATAAAAACAAAAAATTCGATAAATTTTATCAAAATTAAAATATTTTTTATATTCCGACCAACAATTATCGAAATCGATTAAAACTAATTGACATGAGCCGTTAGTTGCACAGTGACACTTTTATCAATGGGTCACTTTTCCACCGTCCACAAGACCACAAATAACCTAACATTAATGGACTTTATGATTTCATAGTTTTAATGGTGGAAAACTTTTTATACATGTGTTGAGCACATGAAAATTGTTTAAATCATGATTATATTTTTTAAGATATCTAATTTGAGTTTTACTTAATTAATAAATTTAAATTCATGCTATGTAAATTTACGTATTAAAAAAATTAAAAAGTAAGAACTAACGGTTTGAGATTCATTTTTTTTTGAAAAGGAGATAGAAAAGTTATGTAAATTATGGTTGTTCGAGAAATGTAACAATTGCTCAATCAAAGATAGTCAAAGACTCGTTTCCAACATGCACGCTACAAGCAATATAAACGCTCTTCGAAGCGATACATAAAGAGTGTGATTATATATTGTGTAAGTGAATTTATATCTTACCAATAGATTTTGTATTTTCAAGTTTTAAACTTCTGAGTTTCTTACTAAAGATGAAATGATTTTAATTAATCTGTCGAATGGCTTCATAGTGAATCACAATTCTGATAGTAACATTTACTTCAACCAAGATACCATTAACGATTAAAATTTGTGTCAAACGCATAGTATTTTTTTGCATCTTTGCGATTCAATATCAATACGAGGCTAGAGTATGCTAATTTTAAATCTGTACTAATTTCAACTTTACTCATTTAGGTCTAAACTTACATTGGTAGTTCATTCTTTAGATATATAGATCTAGAGTTAGGAATTGTCGAGCTTAAATGTATGAAGAGTGAATTAAACTAAGTAATAAATCAACTTTATACTTATAGTTTATAGGTATGAATTTGAGCTTTGACAAGCCAATTCCCGACTCGTATGTTTGAAGTTTGTAAATTTAGACCTTGATTTTCAATTTTTGTCTAACACAAAGTTAATTTTGAAGCAATTAAACATTAACAACTTGTTTGGATGATTCTTACCAGTTCTATTGTTTAATACAAAGTTTGTGTCATATCTTTAAATTCATTGTTACGTTATAATGAAAATTCCAATTTTAATAACGATTAAATTCGTGAACTCTGATGAACCAAAGAAATTGACAAATGACAAATTGACCACAAAAAGAAAGCTAGTATAGCTCAAAGGGGTCCCTCAAAATCCCAACACAAATTTCTATCCACATTTGGTCCAAATAGCCATTGTTGATGTGTTATATACCTCAAATTCGAAGTGCTATATATAGCCCCATGTGAATTGCTTAACCCCCATAGGCCCTAATAGCGGCAAATAAGTTTTTTTTGGGCCTTTCTCCTCCTTTCACCCTCTATCTTCAATAAAGAACCAATTTTTATGATAAAAGAATCAATTTTTACAGTAAAGAACCAATTTTTATTGGTTTAAGAAGAGGTGAGGGGTGAGAAGAGAAGGGTAAAGAACCATAAAATCTAAGTGGGGTGTTGTTTTTTTGTAAGTTCTTGTTCTGCAAATTTCTCTCTATAATGGCTTGCAGTGTTGCAGACTCTGGTTTCCTGGTCTTGGTAAAATCCCTTTTTTTTTTTGCTTCCACCATTCTTGTATTGATGAATTTTGGTTGTAAGCTTATGTTGTTGTTTTTTGGTTTTTAATGTATAGGCTTCCAAGAAAGGACCAGTTCATAGCACTAGAATTGGGCAAATTGCTTCTTCAGGTCTGTACAGAAAAATTGCTAGCCTTTTGTTGTGTACTGCATTGTTGCTTGAACAAGGTTGATTTTTTTTGTGTGTGTGTGTGTTAGGTTGGTGGGGGTCTAGTTTTCGTGTTCTTGATTATGTGACACCTAAAAGTAGCTTCTTTGACTGGTAAATTGCAGATTAGTTCTGTAAGGATTTGGCTATGTAATTGATTACTGAAAATTAGTAGCTGGACATGTAGGTTTCATCTGCATCTTTGCTTGAACTGAGTTAATTGTGTGTGTCAGAGTGTTGTAGTTGTTGTGGTGGTGGGGGTTTATCGTTGATTTTGCTTTTCTGTTTCTTGAGTTGAGGACACCTAAATGTAGCTTTTTGAATGATAATTTGCTGGTTAATTCTGTGAGTATTTAGCTGTGTAAATTACTGAAAATTAGTGGCTCAGAGTAGTCAAAAGCGAAAAATGTCAAAGTCTGATGAAGTGTTTAGCGTAAAGCACGATTAAAGTGTGGGCTTTAGCCAAGAAAAGCGCCTATGAAGAAACTCAAAATCTATTAGTTTAAACACAGACAACAATTATTTTGGACAAAAGAATGAAAAAAACTATAATTAAGTGATGCCACTTATTTTAATGTCTTTAGCAAAGATATAAAAGTTTAAAAGGGGATACAGGTTTCGATTAACATGATAGGCGCATAATTGGGCCAGTTTTCCACCGCAAAGGCATGTTTGCTCAACTTATAATAGTTCAGGGCCATTTTTGGACCTACAGCCAAATGGAGGGCAATTTTGTTCTATATACAATATTTCAAGGCCATTTTTGTCCCTTTTTCGTTCTTGTGTTGAAGGTGAAATTTCTTGATTGTTAATAGAACACTTAAATGTAATTTCTATGAATGGTAATTGCATGTTACTTCTCTGAAGGTTTAGTTGTGTAGATTACTGAAAATTAGTGGCTAAAATTATATGGATTTTCATCTGTATGAATTTTCCTTTCTTGAATTGTTGTTTCTTTTTGTTTCTCCCTGAATTTTGGATACAAAATTTGGAATATCTTAAAGTAACTTGGAATTAGTCATTCCTCGCGAATTTTGGATCATGAGCATATGCATTCCAAGAAAATTGAGCTGCTAAACTAAAGACCATTTCTAATCTAAAAATCTCTCGACTTTCTCTTTTGTGATAAATGTCTTAACTAAATTATTGTTTAGTGAACGGAATAAGACGCAACAGTATTATCAGACAAATGCTAATGTTAATTATTAACAAACATATTCATATTGATATATTGGTTCGCCGTAATATTCCTGGAAAGCTTTAAAGCAATTTTGCATTTGAGATGTGAATACTAAGATTACTATGCATTGCACGGTGTTAGGCCAAGTTTGATAACTAAGCTGAAATATTTAACAATTGCTGAATCTCTTTGATGTTTTGGATGGGATTTGCATTGTGTCTGACCAGCTTTGTGTAATCTTTGTTTGAACGTATAAACAGGAGCATGTTGTTTAAAGTGGGAAAGTCTACCTCAGATAAGCTCGAAACAGAAAGGCTGCTTAATTTACTCGAGAAAGAAAAATGTTATACAAGCTGTTGCCGTTCCAATAGCACCTGCACCCTTAGACTCTGCAGAGGAAAGGAATCGATTAAGTGAAAAATATGGTTTTAGACAAATTGGAGAACCACTACCTGATAACGTTACAATGAGAGATATTACTGAGTCACTACCAAAGAAGGTACTATTATTTCCTTTGACAAAGGTTTTTGAAAATCTAAATGTTCGTTTATTTCCTTTAGAATCTGGAAATGACATTGGTACATTAGTTACTCACACAGTCACACTTCTTCCGAATGAGATGTACTGTTTGTATAAAGAACTACAAAAATGAGTATCCAGTCCCTTTTGTGAAACGTCTTCAAGTCAGTCTCCATTGTTACAATGAAGGACAAAAATGGACTCATATAGTGACCAAAATAGAAATAGTATTTTGTTTCCATTGGTCAGTAACTTGCTATCCATGGTTCAACTTTGATTTTAAGATTGTTTTACTGCGCTAGGTATTTGAGATTGACGATGGGAAGGCATTGAAGTCTGTTTTGATCTCAGTAACTTCATACACACTGGGGCTCTTCATGATTGCCAAAGCTCCATGGTATCTACTTCCCCTGGCCTGGGCTTGGACAGGAACAGCAGTTACAGGGGTGAGTTCTGTATTTCTTTTTTTTTCTGTTATATATATTATTTTTTCTTGCCATTATTCTATTTTTATGTGATCTCTAATGCAGCAGGGAAAGGAAATCATGTTAGGACAGCACAGATCAACTTACTTAACTTTTTTGTGCCCATCTCCAAATCGAAATTTAGCCTGTTTATTTCCTCATTTATTTATTATTTATATCCTTTTCTTAACCAGAAAACTCAAAGTCGATTTCTTTGTTTGGTTTTATTTGTGAAGTTTTTTGTTATAGGACATGATTGCGCTCACAAATCCTTCTCAAAGAACAAATTATTGGAAGATATTGTTGGAACACTAGCCTTTTTGCCATTGATATATCCCTATGAGCCATGGAGGTTCAAGCATGATCGGCATCACGCAAAAACAAACATGTTAGTCAAATGACCCTTGTCCATTTATTTTGCTTCAAGTTAATTACATCTTTGTTTTTGGCATGACCTGTGAAATGTCAACAGTATATTTAACTGTTCAACTGGAAATTTCAAGGCTAATTCCACTGGTTAGACAGGAATTTGACATTGTGTTTAGATTTAATTCTGCCTTGTTCCTTTGATGGGTTGCCTATATAGGAAAACGAGATCCATTTTATTACTTTTCTGGCCCATAAACTTTTCCCTACTGATCCTACACAAGTCAGAGAATAGGCATATATGTGGTTAACAACTTCAAATTAAGGAAGTCAGCTTTTGGTCGATGTTCAAATTTGCTCTTCATGTCCAAAACTGGTAAAAATGTAGTTGCCGTCACAGCTTGTATATTAATGTAGGCCATCTCTTTCGAGTAATGATAATTAAACCAACCACTTGAAGAAATCTTTTTCCATCAATGAAGCTTCCCTTGCAATTGTTTAGTATATTAGACTGCAACACTTTATACTCATTATTCATCTATATGTAAAAAAACTGTAACTTTCACTTTTCTCTATTCCAGGTTGCACGAAGACACAGCTTGGCAGCCTGTTTGGAAGGAGGAGTTCGATTCAGTCCCTGCCCTGAGGAAGGCAATTATATTAGGTTACGGCCCTATTCGACCTTGGATGTCTATAGCTCACTGGTATGCCATTATAAATAATCGTTTTGCTGTGAAAATAGCCATATTTTCTAATTTGTATGGCCTTTTTTTTTTCCATAACTTCTTGATTCTTATCTACTATTTTGGTTCTTGATTTAGGTGGCTCTGTCATTTCAATTTGAGTAAGTTCAGACCAAATGAAATTGACAGAGTGAAAATAAGTTTGGGTTGCGTCTTCGCTTTTATGGCAATCGGCTGGCCACTGATAATCTGGAAAACAGGGATTATTGGATGGATCAAGTTCTGGTTAATGCCATGGTTGGGTTATCATTTTTGGGTAACAAGAATTTCCTGTGATTAACTCTTGGTACCTCGTTTTTGAAATTTTGCTATAGAAAACTTCCTGTACTAATAAGTTTTTATTCTATTCAAATGATCAGATGAGTACTTTTACAATGGTTCATCATACGGCTCCCCACATACCCTTCAAAACTTCTGATGAGTGGAATGCTGCTCAGGCCCAGCTGAATGGCACAGTTCACTGTGACTATCCTAGTTGGTAATTGATCTCTCTTATCCTCTTTCGTGAAGTTGTTGGCTAATCTTGTTCTCCCTTGGTTTCAATTTATTTGTCTTTACTTTCCGTTTTAGTCTGTTTAAAAAAGAATGCATCTTTCATAATTTGGCTACTATTTATTTCAACATCTTACGCGGCATGCTTAAGATCACAATATTAATGGACATTTTGGTACGTTATACACATCTTTAGCTTAAGACCACAAGATCCTATAATCTTCTTTATTTTCTTAAACTCCGTCCACGGTCAAACTAAGGCAGATAAATTGAAATGGAGGGAGTATGAATTAAACTATTAAAGCTGACCCACTATATCTGTTTCAGAAAGTGGAGAAATGAAAATTGATCACAAGAATTATATTTATGGAAATCTTAATTTTTCAAAGTGATCTTAATTGAAATTTCATGAAGAACAGAAGTAGGAATTTCTGCTTGGACTCTTCAACAATGTCAACGGGTGTGTGTCAGATACTCCAAAAGTAGTGTATTTTTGGAGAACCTGGCACGGGCGTGGCGTCAAAAGTGAAGAGTCAGGCACACCTGCCCACATCTCCGTTTCCACGATTCATATCCTGGAAGAAAGATGGATTTGTATTATCTATCAGATTATGATCAAAGTCTGATCTTTGCTCTATCTTTTCGACAGGATTGAGGTTCTTTGTCATGATATCAATGTTCATATTCCCCACCACATATCCCCCAGAATACCAAGTTATAATTTACGGGCAGCTCATCAATCTCTCCAAGAGAATTGGGGAAAGGTATCGTGACTTGACATTTTCTCTAATACTGTTTCATTTCTTTTTGATGATATTTGAATGGGGTATCATTTTTTCTGATTGGTGGGTGGAAAAAGAAAATGCAGGAGTGAGGAAAAAAATGAATATAAAAACTTCATCTTGATCTCTAAAATCGTCTTCCATTGCTATTGACAACATTGTGTTTTGTTCTTGACACCTAACAGTACCTTAACGAGGCTTCATGGAACTGGCGTCTAATGAAGACAATACTGACAGTATGTCATGTCTATGATAAGGAGCGGAATTATGTTCCATTTGATGAAATTGTCCCCGAAGAAGCCAAGCCAATCACATTCCTTAAAAAAGTAATGCCTGACTACGCTTGATTAGCGTGCACCTCAAAAGGTCAATTTTCACTTGCTTCATTCTTTGGGAAGATATCCTTTCAATCCTATTGGGTCCGGTCAAGGGCCCAAATGTCAAGTTCTCACAAATATTGTAAGACTTGTTTTAACACATTAAAGAGAGAAATATCTTCTCAAAAAGTTTCTTGGTAGTGTTAGTTTAGTATACAATAATTTAACTTTCTTGCGATTTGTCTTCTTTTTTTAGAAGTATCCATGAATAACATGTTGCTTATTAAATACCAAAGCCTCGTTATGATCTTCAACCTACAGTCGACTCAATATAATCTGCCAATACTTATGTTATGCCAGTATCCTCAAATCTTGTTTTACACATGTAAATGTAGATGGTTGACAGTAATTTACCTTCATTACTCATCTGTCCATTGTCATTTTGCATTTGAAATTTGAAACCACATGATAACAGATTGTAAAACCTGATGCACTTACATTAAAGTATTGTTTTGAACAGGTGGAATCATAGTTTTGGTTACACTTGTTGCTTTGTTTATCGGAAACAACCTTTCTACCCCCAAAAGGTAGAGGGTAGGTAGGATCTGCGTATATCCTATCCACTGGGTATATGTTGTTGTAGTTGCTTTGTTTAATGATCTTTGTTTTGAGATAATGCCTTTTTCTGGGTTGTTTTTGAAACTTGAAATATGCCGGCGAAAGTCAAAAGGGTGCATATATTTTTATGTTGTTTGTGGGGCTTCTTAACTGGGGATTTGCTCCCAATTACAGAAGTTTGAACTTATTTTAATGATCTGCATTATGATAATTTTGAAATTTTGTCCTGTCATTAGGCGTCGCGCCATTCGATGAATATTATTATTAATTATAATGAAGTGATTAGTGGTGTCATTAAACAAATACTGCTGGCTCCAGATTTTATGAATGGCAGTCTAAAAGACAAGATTAAGCATTTGTTTTTGTTGATATCATATACTATGAGTATGTTGATTTTTACAGTTGCCAACTATTCTGTTTTGACTGCAAAAGATGAAAACAATGCCCCTAGCACTCAGGGGTGTGGCCTACTGGTCGATTAACTGAATAAAATCTTGAGAGATTACGATTCAGTTCTTGGCAGTAACAAAAAATGTTAAATCGTTTCCATCTGGACAAAGTCACTTCGTACCAGTGTGCTTGTGGGATGTAGCAGATAATCGCTAGTGTGCTAGTGTGATGTAGCAAATAATCGTTAGTGTGCTAGTGGGATGTAGCAGGTAATCGTTGAAATTGTTGAGATGTGTATGAGCTGGTCTGGATTCGACCTTAAAATATAATTTTGAAGGAAATGGAGTACCTTACTGAAATGGAAAAATAAAGCAAAACTTTACCTCCTTTTTCTCTAATAAATAATCTGGAGACTGGCTGGGTAGTTACAACTGCTCACATGCAAATGGTATCTACCATCCTACCCTCACCCCTTCAACTTCTTCTTTTTTCGATTTTTACATGGTGTTTGATATTTGTATTGAGTCAATCAAGATTCGTGCCGGTAAATCCCACATTAAGGGGTTGGAGTGGGGGATGAAATGTTTTTTAACAAAGATGACTTCATACCTAGGAATTTGAACTCGAGATCTCTAGTTAAGAATGAAAAAATACTTATTATCATCACTCGGGAACTTTTTCAGTTACATTGGATTGTACAACTACATAAAGAGGAATAATCTATGTTAAAGCTTAGGTCAAAAGAAAAGTTGTTGTATGGGGTTTGTTCAAAAGAGACTTGTTAGTACTTGCTTTATCATTAGGTGGTCCAATGAATCTACTAGAGTTGTAGTAAAGGTGGTCCAATAGAGCAATCACTGCTCTATCCTTAATCAGATGTTTCGATTTCGAGTCTTTTTTTAGTACCAACTTAACCTTCCGATGCGAATCTTGATTTAGTCTAGTACCAATGATGTACTTAGATATTAAGAATGCATCTATTAGAAGCAAGGCAAAGGTAAAATTTGAAATATATTGATTGCTAAGCAATCATTTTCCTTTTAACTTTAACATGTCAGTTTTTCATATGTATACTCAAACTCCACAAATCTACAAAGTATTACAAACACTGATTCTATTCAGTTTCTCTAATCCTAAAAACATCTACATTAGTCACTCTTTAACAATCTGAAGAAAAAGATAACAAAATCACTCACTTAAACCCCTTCAAAACTACATAAGAATCATATAATTGGTGGAGGTGATGTCTCCCATATATCAAACACATTTTCCTCGCTATGAAGAGCGAAAAGACGGTCACCACCAATAGAGAAATCACAAATGGAACCACCATAGCTTCGTCGAAGCCTTGATGTAAGTACCCAATCAGGGCCACAGAACACAGAGATGCAGTCGTTCATCGATGAGAACAACTGCCCCTCGTGCAATGCCAGTTTAGGATAACATGGCTCATCTGGCATTTTCCCCTTCATCAGCCTGCTTCTTGAACTCCACCTTACACTTCCAGCATTCCTCCTCAAATCCATAAACCCCAAATCTTCATACTCGTTCACGACACATATTGAACTCGTTTCCTCCATTGCTATCGCGTCCCTAACTCTCCTCTCGTCAGTTATAGGCGTGCCAATATCAGACCATGACCAAACCATACTTTTATCCCTAAAATCCAACAAACTAATGTAACAATTATCCTTCCTTGGAAACAAAGTAGCAACTAACAAACAGTTTGTACCATGTAGCCATTGTAACTTATCAGCATCACCAAGTGACCAACCGGGTGGTTCGTAGAAAAAATCAATCTGTTTCCCAGTTACTTGATCCCATACACCAATACCATACTCATTACTTCTACCTTTACAACTAGAAAACAACTTATAATCTGAACTAAAACTAAGCGCGCCAGCAGTATAACTCTTGACTTGATTTTCATGTTTGACATTAAATTTATACCTTAGCTCCCCAGTTGATGCACTAAACAACCCCATTCCCCCATCTCCTTTACCTAATCTTTCACAAGCACTCAACACAATACTCTCAGAATCAATCCAACCAGCATCATTCACCCTTTGATAATCAAGATTAATAGGAGGATGCTCCTCCATCATCCAATCATACACATGAACCATACTTCCATGAGCTACACAACACCCGCCATCCGGGCCAGCCCGGATGGCAGTTCCATCACCAGGAGCCTGGCCCGTTACTGAACGGGCCAGACAGAGCCTGTTTCCATCAAATGGACCCCATTTAGCTGACCTGACATGATCTAAAAGACCATAAAACAAAGCCTCTCTATACAACAACTTTTCAGGAAGATTTTGAGGTAAATAAAGCTCCCCTGTTCTAAGCAAATCAAGAAGGACTGAGAAACAATTAGGGTTCCTATCAATGAAATGTTCAATGATTGTGGCATCAGAATTCAAGTTCCATTCATCATCAAACATAGCTCCAAATAGAGAATTCCGACCAGCATTAGCTAAGGTTGTTGCTGTAGTTTCGAAAATTCTACCACCAACATTAAATTTCACTCTGTCTTTCTGAATCCCCATAACTCAAATTTACAGTAATCTGATAAAACAGAGAATCAAGAACTGAAAAAACACCAACTTGAAAAAAACAAAAACAAGAAGATACAAACAGAGAAATTAAAAAAAAAAGGAATTTTTAACAACAAATCAGCTATATATTTTACAGAAAACTTTGAATTCAAGACTTCTTACAAGGACCAATATGGAAAAGAACAGATTTTTTATGGTCCTAACAAGACACCTATCATAATTATGACCAAAAGGAAGTTAAAAACAGTGGAGAAAGAAGAAAAGATTCAATTTTGACAAAATTTATGATATGGGTATTGAAGATTAAAGGATTTGAGAGATGGGTTTTGAATTTTCTTGAGAGAATTTTGGTTGGATTTGAACTTTGGAGGGTATTGGGTTTCAAAAATATTGAATCTTGTTGTATTGTTTCTTTGATTTTTCTTTTTTCTACTCTTTTATTACTTCTCTTTTTTTCTTTTTTTTTTTGAGGTCTTGCTTAAGTCTGAACACAAGCTCTATGAGCTTTTTATAAATTCATTGTCTCATGTGGGTCCCATTTTAGCTACTTTTATAATTGGCCATGGGATTATATGGATTTTTTATCAAATGGTCAAGAATAATTTGGTAGTTGTGTTGTAATTTCTAAAAAAATGGTTAAATGGGGTTTCATTTATTTGTTTAGGGAAGATTGCACTTTTGGTCCCTTAATTTGTAGCGAATTATGGTTTTGATCCTTTTAGTATTTGGACAAACATATTTAATCATTGACATAATACATGTCCCTCTAGACGAGAGAGTTATTCGGATGGTAAGCACGCTTCACTTTCAATTCGAGGGTTGTTAGTTCGAGTCGTTATGGGAGCAGAAGGAGTGGAAGCTCCTCGAGAGGATTAAAAAAAATGTCTCACTAACTTTTGGTATACATAAATAGTCATTTAAACTTGTATAAAGTAAAATAAATAGACACGCAAATTTAATGTAACATAATACATGTAGGTAGTCACTTAAACTTGTATAAAGTAAAATAAATAGACACGCAAATTCGATGTAACATAATACATGTAGGACATCACATAAAAAGAGTGAAATGTTACGTAGAATACCAAGTAAGATGTGTGTGTCTACTTATTTATTTTTATACAAATCTAAATGTTTAATTGTATACACCAAAAATTGGAAGGATATACGCCTAATGGAGTCAAATTAAAAGACATGCGTATGAATTGTACCTAACTAAGATATGTCTTTTAAAACTAATTTACTTTCAATTGTGGCGTAACAATATAAATTTAATACAAGTAAGTTGATGATTTTATTTTTGGTGATATTTTTTTTTTTTTTGTGAATTAAATTATCGAATACCTATACTAAAATAACAAATATTTGTTAAAATTAATTAAAATACATACAAACTGATCCGGACAATACAATGATTAAAAAAAATCTAATGCTTAGTGAGGTTTCACAAAGATTAAAATTAAAATTTGATGATATTTGAGGGATTAAAAATAATAATATCCATTTATTTATTTGTTTGTTGGTTATTTAAGTCTACATTCTTCTTCTTTAAAGAAAGAAAAAGTCAGCTTATCTTTTGGTAGACATAAGAAGAAGAGAGCGTGTCTTGTGCGTTATGTGTTT